CGTAAACCCGCAAATTTATGTCAAAACTTCGTCACTGAAATGTGCAAACAACATTCCGAAACTACCAGGCGTAGATTATGTTGCAAAAAACTGGGCACTAGCCATGATGTTAAAGGCTTTGCCATTGGTTCATTTCAGGAGCATATTGTTGTTGAAAGAGCAAATGATGACCTCTGCTAGAAAAACATTAAAAACGCTGGTCTGATCAGCGCAAAACCAATCGATTCCTAGAGAAATTTGCCCAAATATAACCACAAAATCCACTGTTTTTTACCGATTGCTTTCCGGCCAAGTTTGCCCCAAAAATTCCCACGAAATCAGCTCATTTTTCCGCGATTTTGTCCCTAAAAATCCCGCGAAATTTGACTTTTTTTTCCACGACCTATCAGAAGCCCTGTTATGTTAAGTTCCTAGCAGAAAAGGACTTGTGATTGGCAATTATTGCAGTTAAAGCAGGTCAAGCATTCCTGTCGCTAACAAACTAATCAATTCATTAATGGAAAAATGATTCGGTTTCTCGATTCAATAATCCATTCATAAAATGAATAATCCAATAGTCAAATTGGGCCTCGATTCAATAAGTAAATGTTGATTTGGTTTATGAACAAAATCAACCTGTTCTTTTTTTTTTGTCTGTTGTGTTCAATCATATTTGCTTCCCTTTTCCTACCATTTACAATTTCGTTTTTCATTGCCTTTAATTAAAATAACAGCTAGAATAGAGACAGACCGCAAATGCAATGAAACTGACAAAGGCCGAGGATCGAAATCCATCAATCACGCACATACACTGACCTCAGTTTGTGCGTGGTCTTTTCTAAGAGGTCTGGTCAGTTGCACTGATTACTAGCAGCAAAATGGCGTACATGTGTTAAACAGTTTGTTTGGGTTTGAACTTCAGAACTCGCCTGCACTCGACTCTTCGAGAAAAAGAGGAAAAAACGAAATTCTGAGGTCGACTTGTGGAAAGTGTAGTTTTTCAAAAAACAGTAATCGAATCAACATTCAATTAATAAATCGAGGCTGAATATGAATATTGGATTGTTCATTTTATGAATGGATTATTGAATCAACAAATGAAATCATTTTCCCATTAAATGAATTCATTAGTTCGTTAGCGACAGGAATGCTTGACCTGCTTTGACTTTAACAAAAATAATGAACTAGACAGCAATGACACTGGCCCTGTAGAGCGATTTTTGTATGACCTTGAAATGAAAACGCGCGAACAAAACAGAAACAACAAATGAAAATCACTCTTATTTGAAGTTTTCAACTTAAACTTTAGTTATTGTTTGATTCTCAGAAGTGGATACAAATGATGACATTTCAGGACAAGCTGTTCAGCTCAAAAAGGTGTACATAAAGCTCATCACGTAATTATTACTGACTTACTAACACAGGAGTAATGGTGGCACAGTTCGTAAGTGCGCGAGGTCCCGAGTTCGGTCCCTGGTGACATCACATCCTTGTTTCAACTTCCCTCCTTTCTGTATAGCTTTGACTAGCTTTAAATAACCTTAAAATGGAGCATTGAGGGAGAGAGGGGTGGTAAAATGAGCGCACCATTGACGTCTAGTTTATCAGTTATTGCTGTCACATGCTATCAACATAAATTATGGTTGCTTTACCTTTTTTTACCTTAAATTACACATTGTTACAACCATAAGGTGATTTACCGGTAAATTGTTTTTCATCACTAACTTTTAACTGTTAATTATAACATTCTTTCAGGCTCTTGATGAATCAGGAAGTCAACTTGAAAAAATTCATAGGAATACTTTGGAGGTAGAAAAAGTTATTTTCTATAAAGTTTTATATGTCATAAGCAACTCTCTTTGCTAAATTTAAATTTTTCTCGGTTAATTTCTTCCTTTTTTGTCTTCAAATTTTTCTTTATGTGTACAAGTGACAGTTTTACATTTAATGATTGAGAAGTTCAACCACAGTCAACTCCTCTTATAGCGGACACTGAAAGGACCTCAATTAGCGAGAGTCCTTAATAGCAGGAGTTTATTTCAGTCAATCACCTGTAATTTACTTTTGGCTTGGAATAAGCTGCTGTCCATAATGTTGGGGGTCCATTATAGTGAGGAATGTTACAAGAGTAATGGGCGTATTTTATGTTTCTTAACCATCTCATGTCGAAAAGAGATGCATATTACACAATCACAATTAAATCAAGCTGCTCTAGATCTCCTCTAAAATGTTATTTTTCTGCATGCAGATGTATGTTCAAGAAGTAGAAGACCTGAAGGCTGAATGTTCAAGAGGAGATTTTCTTGCCAAGGTATTTAATAACTTGTTTGCATTTTCCAGAGCTGTCAATGTTTGAAACCCACTAAAATCATTATTAATTTGTGCTAGGGTTTGCTTTGATGCAATGAGGGCTAGCACTCTGAACATCAGCTTCTGAACACTTTTATGATAGCTGGTTTAACTGTTCAATCATTATTGTCAGTAAGACCACTTTTTTTCCCATTCTCACATAAATGCTGCAGTGAAATGTTTTGTAGAATCCTTCATTTTTATTCGCTTATACCTTGCAATTCAAAGGCATCTGAAAATAACTTGTTGTTTCTCAGCTTTTGGTCATAAGTAAACATAGTAACTGTAACTAAAATTCCCCAGATTCCCTATCATTCCTTTTCCAACAATTTTGGTTAAGTCAAGGAAGAATAAGAGCAATTTAATGGCTGTTCTTGTGGGCTGTGCATAGTGGATCATTAAACCATGGCCCATTTTGCATCATTCAGTGATCTAGTACATATTTTGCTACTGACAAAAATGAGTATGGTAATACATGTACCAGCAATAAACTTTATACATGGGGACACTCACAAAGCTTACTAAGGTTATAACTGATTTAGTGTCTACATGTATTTTTGATAATAATCCTCAGGCAAGAACCCAAGAGGCAGAGACACTGAAAGCAGAGAAGTCTGATCTTCAAAAAAGATATGAGGATGGAATGAAGGTACTTTTAGATCTTAAATGTATAAATCTTGGCAAGGCTATTCAAACCAGGGTTACGTTAAGTGGGGGCCCTAGAGTGGAGGGGGGTTGGGGATTTGTCTGCTCGGGGATGCCTGGAATCCTTAGCGTATACCAGACATAGTTCAGTTGAATTTTGCCACCCTATACTAGACTACTAGACTCTAAACATCCCTGTCTTTCCTATCCTTTGTTTAAATCTTCAATGGTCAATTTATTGATCAGTTTCCTGGAAAATGATACACTATTGTAGACCCAAACTCTCTGATTTCTATACTTATCCCAGATTAAGTTAAGTTAAGTGGGGACCCTAGGGGCGGGAGGGGGGAATTTAGGGATTTTGGGGTGGGGATTTGTCTGCTCAGGGATGCCTGGAATCTTTAACGTATACCAGACATAGTTCAGTTGAATTTTGCCACCCTATACTAGACTACTACACTCTAAAAATCCCTGTCTTTCCTATCCTTTGTTTAAATCTTCAATGGTAAATTGATCAGTTTCCTGGAAAATGATACACTATTGTAGACCCAAACTCTCTGATTTCTATACCTATCCCAGATCAAACTACTCAAAAACCATACCCTTCAGAACAGCACATACTACTTATTTCCCATATATAGCAGTTCTGCAACCTGCAACCCCTCTTCCCCCACCCCCACCCCAGAAGTTAAGCCAAGGTTAATGGCAGATTTGAATTCAGATCTGAACACTTACAACGCATACTCAGGTGCATTCCTTTTGCCCAGTATTTGATGTTTGGACACTCTGAAGTGACTAGTTAAAATTCACGTAAGAAAATGAACTTGGATTATGATTTAACCCTAAGTCAGTGATGATAATTTTTTATTGCAAACTGAGCTTAGAGTTGTTAAAACTAACAGCCATACTAAGGTGAGTTTAAATTTCTTTTGACTCCACATATTTTTCTAGTTTTTTGTGTAAGGTATATATACATATTTATTTGAAGTAAGGCCTGTCAAACTTTTGCTTTGTACTTACCCTTGCGTTTGTTATTAAAATTTCTGTTTTTTTGTTACAGGTTCAAGTTAATTACATCTCACAGCTTCAAGCAAAGTTTAATGACCTTCAGCGATATGCAGTTACAACTGAGGAGGTACGTGAAATGGAATTAATATAAATCAAAATTCTGTGGTGCAAAAGTTGATGAACCATATTTAATATGGCTGGCACTTTGCTCCATATCGCTTTTCTCTATGTACCGTTTTCAGCAATATAGAGCCTCTGTATTGGTACCTGCGGACTTTGATTTCATGGTGCATTTTTCCATCAACTCGTTGGTTTTTCAGACAAAATCATTGCATATCAAGGATTGTTTTGTGTGGTGATGCTATTAGCGAGGCGAGTGCAACCACAACATCGATGGGAAAAACTAAATGAGAAAATCAGGAAAAAACTCTGAGCATGCAACACACTTTTTGGCAGGTTTCTTGTCTGGCATTGCATGACTAGCATTGCCAAACTTGATTGAAGTGGCAATGCGATTGTTGCAACTTCTATTTCGTCATTGACTGTTTATCATCTTCATATTCCAGAAATACTTCTTCTCACTTGTTATTGGTGTAAAACTCAACATGGCTGTGTGTGGCTACAGGGTTGGACGCATGAATCACCTGAAGCCTGAGGTAGTAACCAAAAGTTAACCAATGTGTATGATAACTTGAGATCTAAATGTTATAAATGGCTGAACCTCTAATTTTGATATGCAGTGCACTAGTAGTGTGCCCATATCATCATCGATTATGATGGATGGTTGATCGAGGAACCTTAAGCAATTGACACGAAAATTGATCGTGGAAATGCTTTAATTGATTTTCACAGACAAATAGAAAAAAAATTTGTTGACAAATAAGAATGTTAAAACTCTGGTGTTTTCTACTAATTAATAAGGAAAATATACTAAAATCCATTGATGATCCTTTTCTGATATATTATTTCATATCTCTGTGTCATGTTCACAGCACCACGTCTGTTTAAAGGAGCTGTGTCACGAAATTCAGCCAAATTAGGAAGTTACAAAATACCTGTTAGAGTTAAGAGACACTTAAAAATAACCGTTTAAAACTTTACAGGAAGGTAATAACATAACAGAAACAACAGATGCCACGGATGAGCAAAACTGAAGAAGATTGAAATCGATTGAAATTATAGGGTTTTTGAAAACTGTTCAGCCTAACAATTTTTCAAAGTTGATCCCTGCTGCTTGCAACTTCAAAAATAATGCTCAGGAGACATATTTGTTTGTCTTGGATCTCTGATTTTGTCATTTACATGTAATTTCTTTGCTTACTTTAAGTTCCATAGCATTTGAGGGCAAGTAATTGGCAAAATTAAACAAAATGAACTGGACTGATTCCTTTGACGTTGTGTCTTTGAAACGCTGAATAATGATTTTTTTTTGGCAGAAACTGTTTGAACGAGTTCGAAATCATGGGATCTCAATAGAACATTGGCCAAGTTGGTTGTCAAGGGAACTATCAACAGCATCAGCGACAGCTGAACATGAGGAAGAAGAATGATACCTTTTTTTTCTAATTCTGTAGAATAAAATGAAGGGATAGGTGGAGAAAGGTTCTTAAAGTGACTCCCGATAAACCGTGAAATTCTCCTCTATGAAACAAAAGGAGAATTTGACATTAATCATAGTCATGTAGGGTCATATTTTTCATGCTCCGCTTCAAATGAAGTGCCATGTGTTGTTGTGGTCCTGGATCTGCTATGCTGCATCTGTGTTCGTGGGACTATTTCTACAGGTGCATGCAGAATTCGTATTTATGTACAATAGGAATGGACAATTGGAAAGGTGAAGTGGTGGGGGACAATTTTTTCCCATTATTCCTCTTTAGCTCTACTTGTGAGCAGAGGCCTTTTGATCCTCGTAGATAAGTCGGGAAGAACGAAGGGCCTCTGATTGAAGGGTACTACCCAGATAGGGTAAGCTTAATCTGTTGAACAAATTTAGCCTGTGTACAGACGTCCCCCCTCCCTCTCGTCTCCCTATTTTTTCCGAGGGAGGGGGCACGTCTGTACACAGGCTAAACAAATTGAATAAATAACAAAGTGCACACTAGAAACGAATATTGTAATATAAAATAGATGGAAAAACTTGATATTTTAAATTTTGAAATATTATTGGGTGCCTGGCTTAAAAGCCAAACCCAAAAGATGCTAGAAAAACATGGAGCAGTTACAGCCTCGTTCCCAGGGTTCTCTCCTACCCATCCTCACGGCAGGGTACGAAGCGAGAGAGAGACGGGTAGGACAGAGAACCTGGGAACAAGGTTGGGAGCAGTTACTCAAAAGGTCAATTATTATTATTGAAGAGAATTGCGGTAATGTGGATGATATTTATTTAGTGATTTTGTATTTTCAATGTAACAAGCAGGATATGGGGGTTCTTCGTGTAATATCCAATCGTGAATTATCATATTGAAAAATAGGCAACAAATGCAGCCGAGTCTTTAAAGCGCCTTTCAAATATCTTCTTATCTTGTGAAACACTCCTCCGTATGGTTGATAAGGTGTTTTGGAAGATCAGTAAAGAAATACAAGAGTGCACTGAATTGTATCATACTCTTTTTAGACAGTGCCTCTGTGTCCTCTCCAGCTTTTTTTACCCGTGGAAATTAGTTCTTACGTTGTATATAGTGACTGAATCATTAAATGAATTTTTAGTCGGGAAATGTATAAAATTAGCGAAGAGCTAAAAATAAAAGGATATTATTTTTTATTGCTTCTCTTTGATTTGAGTTGATGATTTCTACAAGTCTTGATGCTACTCCTCAACCTCTTAGCCTGTGAACGGAGAGAGAGAAGCGACGACCGGAAATACGTCAGCTGTTCAGAGGCTACAACCTCTTTTATAAACCTCTAGGCTCGATTACCAGCCCCTGTCAGCGTTCCTCCACCAAGAGAGGATCGGAAATCGAACCTTCTCAGTCTTTTTTTCACTATGGGCGGTCACGTGCCGCTCAGGCTTTCACATATGGAAGTTTTTAGAAACCTTTGGCCTTATAAATGAGGGAAAAAACAGTAATACTCCGTTCTACGTTCCAAATACTACACCCGTTCCCCGGGGGATGGGTTAGGTATGCGCTGCTTTCAAGCAGTCTAGTCTGTGGTAGGGTAGAGAAATCAGAGATTTTGGGTCTAGAATAGGCAAACATTTTCCAGGAAACTGAACAGCTGGTTTAAGATCTTAGTCAAGACAAGGGTAACCGGTAATTAGCACACAAAAGCTCTCCCCCCCCTCCCCCCCCCCCTTCACTGATTAGGAGGTGAAGGGTGCTGACATTTCAGACCATGAAATTGTCAAATTTGAGTTTACCAGCAACTCAGTTCATTACAGCTGTTTTGGATAATACGCGACCTGCGATTTCAAAAACGTCTTTGGATTTTGGAATTTTCTGGAACGTCAGTCAAAATCTGATTTGTGTTTGGTGGATTTCGATCCGTTTTGTATGTTATTTCAGAGTTTGCTTGTTTCACTTTATAGCTGTCAAAGTTTTTTACCTGCTTTATACCGAAACATGGCAAGTTTAAATTCCCAAGGTGAAATTGTTCTTATAGAGCTTCCAAATCCTGGAGAAACACAGATATGGGAAGGTGAAAACGAATTGGTACGTTCGGTTCCCACCCACATTTATTTTTGCAGCTTCTGTTCGTGATTGCCGCTTTTTTTTGACAACGAAGGATTAGATGCTATGGTAACGGTTTGATTGACGTCGAAGAGAAACCCAAAATCCTGAAACGTTTTTGACGACGCAGGTCGCGTGTTATCCGAAACAGCCGTAAATGACAAAGAAAGCGTGGACCTCAGTAGTACAACTTTGGGATAGGCAAGAGCCATGGTTCTTGGGATAGGGAAGTTGGGTTACAAAGTCCCACCGCACATTCCACCCCAAAATTCCTTGAGTAACACCCCCGGGACCCGTCCCTCTGTTGGAAACTAATTACCCCGCACGCATAAGGTATTTTCAGGTGCCGGTATAATGTAGTTGTTGCGTGACTTGTACGGCAAAGTGACCCTCTTGTTTGTGGCTTGTAAACTTGTGGTGACGATTCAATGATGATAGTGTCTCTTAACACGTTTGTAGATATTGACCTTGTCTCCAAGTGGTCACAAAATAAACATTTTCAAGGAGTTTTCTCTCTTTTTGCCCTCAAGCGAAAAAGAGCAACCAGTGTCGGTAACGTTTGAGGTTTAGTATCAAGAAAATTTGAGGAATTCCCACAGAATGATAAGAGGTTTTACGGGAATGTTAATATGGGGTTTGACGGAAAGAAACCGGAAAGATTAAAATGTAGAACTAGTGTTGAAGTGAGCAAGAAATGGCGTTTGGTTAAAAACCGTCGGGAAATCGTGGCTAATGTCACCTGTTAGGTAGAATGTTTGAATGACCTTTTTATTAAATATTCGTCACGTGCATTTCCGGGTGCAAAGTTCAAGTATGATAAACTTTAAAATGCACTGCACGCACAGGCAAGTTATGTGGTTCCCCCCTCCCATCCGGCCTTCCTTTATTTACTTAAACTACAAAAACAAAATCCTAATTCCTTCTTTTTCTTTGTCTATTTGTTGTCAAGACAAGACAAGCCAAGACAAGACAATGTTTTATTTGGAGTCTTATGCAGTCCTATGTATATCGACTTTATCCAATTAATTTAAAATTATAGCACAAATTACACATAGTTCATAGTTCATTTGTGCGGGGGGTGGGGGAAGTAGCAAAATTTGGGTGTTCCATTATGATAAAAGTTCCAAACATCTTCATATGGGGTAGCTCTAGTGCCGAAAATGGTGTCTTCTCTCTGTCCGCCCTTAGAACTTCTCCCAAACAACAATAATAGCTCTAAACACATTCAGATGTCTTATTGGAATTGTGTTTACGTACGTTTGCATGGGGTTGCTATCAAGTATACAGGTGTTAGAATCTCAGTTATGAAACAGAGTATTGATTTCCGGGTGTAGATTTCTTGGCTGTGATTTGATTTCTCAGCATACGTTTTCCGCAGGTTTTCCGACTGTGATAGCTTTTTACAAAATAACACGAGATTGCTGTATGCATAATAAATATATGAGGCTGTGGAGAAATCTTACCACATAATTTCTCGAATCTTGATTGACAGTTAGAATTTGAACCAATTGTCGGCTGTTTTAACAACAGAGCTGCGTCAAGTGTCCGCAAATGACCTGACCCAGGTTGAAAGCCCCACCCCTCCCTGCCCTGCGGCACATTTTGGCCAGGCCACGCCGTTCACTGCACACTTTGTTTACTGCGTACAGGATCTTTGAGCGTGCGAACATGGCGGACGAGGAGCGAAAGGAAGAGCCCCAAGCAAAACCAGAAGCAGAAGAGAAACCTGAAGAAAAGGCCGAGGAAAAGAAAGAGGCGGAGAAGCAACCGGAGCAGCAGACAATGCGAAGTGTTTTCCTCACGGGCTACGGCGGCTACAACAAACTTCAAGTGCAAAAACACGCCAAGCCTAAACCCGCGAGTGGGCAAGTTGTGGTCCGCGTTCACGCATGGTGAGTTTTATTTATGAGCTTGTTGATTGTTCTTTCACCTGATTTCGTGGTAGTCCTCATGTTGTCGCCAAAAACAACAAGTGTCTTTCTGTGGAATGCAATGTAATATTTCAATCCATAGCTATATTACTATACACCAACGAGGACGATTTGGGTTTTCCACCACTCTTTTAAGATCGGCTTTCGAAACCCGGGGGCCAGTTTACATTATTAAAAACTTTGTCGATAAATTAATATTTGTTTCTTTCATTGACTTAGTGAAGCAAAATACAGTTTCCTTTAAAATCAACCTTTTTATAGCAAGAATTGATTCGAGTGTTCCTGGTGAATGAAAATGTGGGAGGGGCTCATGTAAACCCTTGATCGGTGGATCGTGTAGCCCTTTAGTGCTCCGATCGTTAGCGATCCAATTAAAACCAAACCGAAGTTGTGATAAAAATAGGCCTAGCGAACTTAAATGTTTTGTTTGTGCCTCATTAAAACAAAAAATCCTGCGAAATTGGCAGTGTGTATTTCAATTACAGTCTTGATCGTCGTCTATTACGTATTTGCTGTGGCGTTCATGAGTCTAAATATTTTATTACGATCCATATTTACTTTATCTCGAGGATATTTTTATAGTAAATACCAATAAAATTGCGTTATTTCTGAATTATTGCGCGCTCAATTTTATTTTTATGTTGGACACACAATGAGCCCTTAATAAGCCATTAATTTTTACACTTGACTTGATAATTCGCGTGTAGAGGAAAATTCCATCAATTAGTAACAATAGTGACCTAAATTATATACAAAAGAATGCACACTTTGACGAGAAAAGAAAATTTTGTAACCCAGGACAGGACTGGAAATTTCAGGGAGGTGGGAGGATAACTGGTCTATTTCCCTTGAGGAGTGGGTGTAGCATAAAATCCAAAAATATTTTTCAAGTTTTTAGCTGCCTGGATACAGTCCTCCTTCATTTTTTCTTGTTTTCCTTAAAAATGGGTACCCAAATAGAACAGAATACAACGTCATGCTGAAGTATAGAAATTGGAAAATTATTACTGTGTGACAAATCAAAACCCTTCATCAAGTTCTTTAATTTTTTACTGTTCACAGTACACTACTTTTCCATAAGACTGTCAAGATCGAAAACTTTGTGTTAGGGGTGGCCATCTTAGATCGCTGTCAAATCTGTTTAGGGGGCTGGGGATGGTTTGGGAGGAGGTGAGAAAAATAGAGGGACTGGGACTGTCTCAACATCACTGCAGCTCACATCCAGTGGGTGTGGCAGGTATTTCAGGCCTTTTACTATTCATTATTAACAAACTCTGCTTGGGATGGAAAACATGCCAGACACATTTAGCATTGACTTTGCGTGTTTACAAACATCTTCTTTCGAACAGTGATTATAATACAAATAAAAGGATGTTTTTCCAAATTTAGTCGGCCAACATGCACAGCTGAAACATTTTCCCAAATTAAGAGTCAAGCATGCTCTCTTCAAGACCAGTAATTATTAAAACTATTAAACCGCCAGATAAATCGCCTGAAATTTCTGACACGGGTCGTCTTTCTGTGTCTCTGGGGCAGAAACTGTGCTTTTTAATTTAGAACTCCCCAGACTTCTGAAATTATCAAAATTCCCCCAGCCGAGGCTACTTCAAAAGCATATTGGCTTACGTGATTGATCTTCAAAATACTGTCCACAAATCCTTTGTCTGTTTTCAGAAATATGTACCTTGCGAATTCGCAAAAGCATCCAGTTTTGAAAACAATACTTCCAAACAAACGGTTTTGTGTTGTCCCTTCTGTATGAAATGTCCGGAAGAGTTTGCACTACTTCATCTTGACAATCTCACGGAAAAATAGCGGACTGTGTACACTCTAATTTTTATTATACAGTTGAAGGCATGGAGTTTAAAAAGTTAAGTTGAATTTGTTTCCCTCTCAGTTAGCATGTAATCATTAATATTGTTTAGTGTATCTTAAGTACATATCTTTAGTCTCTTGTCATACTGTTGTCATTTGTTCTTAGTAATACCGTTAGTTTACCATTAGTCTCTGGTCATCGTTGTCAATTTTAGTTCCGTTAGTTCTCTTGTTACTTTTAGTTTATTTATTTGTAATTTATTTCCTGTAAACATGACCTGCCTAGATTAGCTTATAGCTACCTCTGGGCATGTTATAATTTATTATTATACTTTAACCTCAAAACACAATAAACATGTATGTATGTATGTATGTAAATGAGCATTTAACAGCACAGTATAATAGTGTTCATACTACTGGATAGTATACCTGCCAACTTTTTCTGAGATATAAGCATGAGATCTTTATCCTGGGAGTGCTGGGAATTTAAAGACAGCACGATCATTTCCGAAGATTCCCGAAGAAGTCCGAAGTTTTCCGAAGAAGTCCGAAGACTTCCGAAGTCTTCCAAAGACGTCCAAAGTTTGTCGAAGGCGAAGTTATCAAGTCCCAGTCTTAGGACACGTATAAACGCGAGCTCACTCCCAGTGCTTTTTACTTCAAAAATCAGAGATCGCAAGGAAAAGGTATTGTCATTTATTCATTTTAACATGGTTTTCGTTCGTTACATGGGTCTGAGTTAACATATTTTTGGAAATTGTGTCAAGCAAGACAGCAACAACTCACATTTTTCAATCAGGCGTGAGAAATTGGCCCGCAAGCGTGAGCCGGCGTGAGATCGAAGTTTTCAGCCCACAGGCGTGAGAGTTGGCAGGTATAGGATAGCTTTTGTGCTAGCATGAAAACCATAGGGCTCTTGTTCAAACAGAAAAACAGTGATTTCGTCACAGTTTCTGCAACGGAGCAAAGCTATGCTGCACTGATCTCTAAAGTGGACAGTCACATATCGAATAGGTGTTCATAATATACTGGATAGCCTTTCACGGCGGCATGAAAAGCAATTCAGTAGTAGTAGAGTAGTAGAGTTGTTTATTCAGAACCCCTTGCAGCTAAGAGCTGGATAACAGGATCGTGCGCAAATTACACATAATTAACATTTATCTTATGACAAAAAATGTAAATATTTTACAGATACAAATTCTGACATTCTATACAGATTCACTCTAAGTGCAGAGTGAACATAGTCTTGGTCAGTTTTTTACAAGTACTAAAGTAAAGTATTCTCTTCTTGGTTTCGTTTATAGTGGACTCAACTTTGCAGACATCATGCAACGCCAAGGACAATATCCAAGTCCTCGAAAACCACCATTTGTCCCTGGTTTAGAATTTGCCGGGACAGTGGAAGAGCTTGGAGAGGATGTCACAGATCTGGAGGTTAGTCTTGTTGAAATGTGATCCACTGACATGCTAAATACTTAAGGCGTTACTCCTTCAAAACATTGATTTTCTTGACTGATAGGCAAATTTGTGTGAATTTTATTCACTGTCCTTATTGTCAAATTAATGAAGTTTACTGAATTTGTGCAAGTCTTAATAATATTGTAAGTCTAAATAATGTTATTTTTGGTGTGATAGTAAAATAATATCATTGCTACTATCACTGTAGTGTGTATTTTTATTGGTTGTCATTGGTCAACAGTCCATATCATCTAAACCAGCTTTCACTCCAGAGAGCAACTTGAGAGAATTTCTGCAAATTTAATTTTGGAGGCCTTAAGAAAATACATTGGACTGACCCTTTGACATGTTATCTTTAATATTATTTTTTTAATATAAACATAGGTTGGTGCACGTGTTGTGTGCATTTCACTAGAAGGTGCATGGAGTGAATATGCTTGTGTTCCTGCCAGAAATTGTGTAGTCATCCCAGACAGCCTTAGTTTTGAGGATGCAGCTGCTTTACCTGTCAATTACCTCACTGCTTATTTCATGCTGTTTCACTGTGCCAATCTGGGTCGAAGAAAGAGTATTCTTATACATATGGCAGCTGGAGGAGTGGTAAGAATTATTATTAAAAACTTGAATGGTTGAAAGCGTTTTTCTGCTGCATGCATGGATGCGCTGCATGACCTGTCAGCTGTTCTTGAATAATAATAAAAAAAACAGGGTGCAAAGAAAGTCAGCTCTAAAGCATGCTTTTCAGGCAAGCTGTAGCTAGCATGTACTATAGCCCAAGAGTCATTGAATTAGCTGGGAAAAAAAATTATGAGCAGGAATTGGAATTCCCCAAAAAACTTCACTGGCCCATCAAGTGAGGTCAGAACAGAACTTCCACGCAAAATCCATTTGCCCCAGGCTATCAGACATGCATGGCTTTCTTTGCGTGTGCTTTTTTCAAGAACTGAATTTTTCAAAAGGCAAAGGGCAGATTGAAGTAAAAATGGCAGGAAGGAAAAGTTGATTACCCCTGAATGTCTGATTTTGTTTTGTGGAATGCTAAGAAAAAAGTTCAACCAAACAGGTTTAGTTTAGTTCACGGTTGGCACAGTCTTAAAAAGTGCTTGAAATTTTTGGGGGAGTCCTCGAAAAGTCCCTGAATTTCTGTGCAAGTCCTTGAAAAGTCTTTGAATTTTTCTCAACTTTGAATGTGGTGGGGTTGAAAGCAAACTGCTTTGCATTTCATTAGTCTTTGGTATTCTTTTCCTTGGTTTATTTGTATGAACGCTGTAGATGGTAACACCATGGGATTTCCTCCAGAGGTGTAAAATATGGAGTGACAGATAATCTCGCATTAACAACGTCTAGGTGTGAAAGGGTTACTATCATTGTTAGAGAAGTCCCAAACAATCTGACTGGCCGGCACTGATTATGTTTTAAGCCATTTACCCACTTATCACTGATGTTATTTGTGTTGGAATTGTGTTTGTTAGGGAATAGCCGTGACTCAGCTCTGTAAAACGGTAGAAGGAATAACCATGTTTGGGACGGCATCAGCAGCAAAGGTAGAGTTCATCATTTATAACAAACTATTATTGTAGGTCACAGAGATGTGGATGGTGTAACAATTCTTTATTCTACTCATAAATGAACGTGTAAACATTGTATAGCAGGGGGTAGCAATGAGGTCTGGGACCAAGAAACGATGCTCTCTCAATTTGTAAAGCGGGTTACCTTGCAACTTGTGGTCAGCAGGAAAAATAGCAGGATGTTAAAAATTGCAGTATATTTCTTAGTCTTAAATATTTTAGAAGCAAGAGGCGAGGCGACCGAGGAAATAATTATTTATATAATTCTAAGTCTTCATCTTTGTACTACTCATTTTGCCTGTCAGTTTATCAAAAAGTTGTTTCTTAACTTTCTTTTCCAGCATGAGAAAATTGTTGCCAATGGGATAACTCACGCCATTGACTACCGAACAACAAACTATGCCCAAGAAGTAAAAAAGTAGGCTGATTCTGCTCCTTCTGTACCATAGAGAAGATGCATTTTATTTATTTGTTTATTTTACTATTCTATCTCTTGGTGAATTTATAAGTGATACATTCATATTTGCTAGCTATTGAGCTAATTTTCTTCCAGCAAAAGGTTAAAGTTATTCAAGTTTTTGTTTTGACACAAAAATGAGAGTGAGCCATTGGTAATTTACAAAGTTCATAGGTTTTTTGTTTTGTTTTGTCAGAGTTTGCCCAGAAGGAGTAGATATTGTTCTTGATCCTCTTGGTGGAACTGACACAAAGAAGGGGTACAATCTTCTGAAGCCTTTGGGAATCATTGTTTGCTATGGTTAGTTGCCTCTGGTGTTTTGCATATTATTAAACTACCTGACATGGTTCTCTCTCATGGTTCTCAATGTCTTTTTCTCAAGGTGTGGTTGAAGGACAGCATTTTTACCAGGCAACACAAAATTAATGGTGCACGAAATGCTATCGTCTTTGCTCATCAATCATAAACACACAATTTAAAGCGTTCTGGATTCCGATTTTACAATATAATAACTCACTAAGGGCACCCTGGAAAAGGTGTGCACAAATCGAACCAAAATCGAAACGTGGAAGCAAAGAATCGTGAATCGAACCAAACAGTCATAATCGCGATTAATCGAGAATTCGATTAATCGTTACACCACTAGAGACTGGGTGCTTATTTGAGGCTGGGCACCATTTGCAGCAAGTATGCAGTAAGTTATTTTGCAACAAAACAATAAAAATAATAAAATTATAATAACAAAACATGAAGATGTGCCATAGAAGAATTTTAACTGTTCATTTGAAAATTTATTGAAAGTACTTAGAAAACGCATTTTTTGGGGTAGTCTCTCAGTAGTACTCAGTCAACTTCAATCTTGTTTTCAGTAAGGTCACTTTCTTAGGGAGGGAGGGGTGGGTACCTATTAACTTTTCCTACCTATGGGGTGGGTGGTTATTTAAGATGGATGCATTTGAGGTAGGGGTGCTCAATAGAACAAGTGCAGTACATGTAGCCAGTTAATCAGGATCCAGGCATTTTGGTCAGAGAAAACTAAAGAGATATCTTCTTTGAAAGAGTTGACTGTAAGATCTTTCCCCTTCAGGATATGCAAAGTCTATTGGTGAATCAAAGAGCATGTTTTCGTCAGCCAAGAGTGTGAGTACTTTAAATTAAATTCATTGAACATATTTCCAAGCAGATCATTCACCAAACAAAACAAATATATAAATTTATAATTTATTATTATTAGTGCAATGTGGCTTGATTCTGAAAAAGCTATGAACACACCTAAGAGAAGTTAAAAAAAGTTTACAAGTACAACAACGCTTTTGAGCAATCTTTATAATTATACAATGGTTATTTATTACTAATAATATATAAAACATTTCATGGTACTGACATGTACTCCACTATGTAGTTATTATATATGAGGAATCTTTCATGAATGACCATTGAGAGTTGCTATTTTTGCCGCCCACAAACAGTAACAGGGCTAAACTTTACTGACAAAGGGGTCCCACAATCTCGAAAAGTGCTTAATATTTAGGGGGGAGTCCTTGAAAAGTCCTTAAATTCGATTATTTCCTTGAAAAGCCCTTAAATTTCTGGGCAAGTCCTTGAAAAGTCTTTGAATTCTCTTCAACTTTGAATGCAGCATCCTGGAAAGTGTTTTTAATGGTTTTTGGTTGTCCAAGACTGAATGTCAATCATAGCTCAGAAAAAAGGTGATTTTCATAACACGCTTTTCTGTTTTATGCAATTATTGGCTATCAATTTAAGGCAAGTGAGCTAAAAAAATTTTGCGAAGTTGGTGGAGCAAACAGTTCAGTCCTTAAAGTCTTGTTAGAATGAACTGGAAATGCGCATTTTTCACAATCTTTGAAAAGCAGGTGGTCCTTAAAAATGGAATGTGGTCCTTGGAAAGTCCTTAAAAAAATTAATGTTTGCAATTTTTTGTGTGGAGCCTGTGACATTGTTCTGTTTTACCGTCATATTTTTATCTGCAGTGGTTTCAAGGGGTATCGTACACTTCAATGCAGCTGTTTAAAGACACAAAATCTGTCTGTGGATTTGATCTGAAAGCGGTCCCTATAGAGTTAATAGGGGAGGCTCTAAAGCATTTGATACAACTTTACAGTGAGGGGAAAATCAAGCCTGTCATTGACCAAGTGTATGCTCTTGAAGAGGTAGGTCTTTACCTTTTTTGATATCTTTTCTCATAATTTTTTTGTTCTCAGTGATTTTGACAATAATTACAGCAAGGAGCCCAAAAGTGTTACCGCTTTTAATTTATTCACATCCTTTCGTGCAGATTTAATCCAATCAGAAGCCAGCTGGAAACTGTCCTCAACTTCTGATTGGTTTATGCCTGCATGAAAGAATGTGAATTAATTTAAGGAGGTCACTGTAATGTACGACCAAACCACACCATGTTGAGTGTAACAACTGATTTAATTAGTTACCCGTCATGCCTAGTACAGGCATGGCATTAACATACATCACATCTCTCTTTCTCCAACAAAGACCGAACTAATAATAAACAATGGAAAATAACACACACACACACAAAAAAAAAAATAAATAACAAAATCAGTTCGAAATCAGTTCAAAAACTCGTAAGTTCAAATTCACAAGTTCGCATTCAGCATTCAACGTTCCATTCAATTGCTCCATTCCCTTCAAGTGTAACAGTCCTTTAGGTATGATGGGGTCTTAACCAAACGTCCCGACCTGGTCACTGTAACAGGTTCTTCTGCAGCCGCTACTGGCTTAGCGGCTTGGCTTGGCTTAGCTACTGGCTTAGCGGTTTCCCTCTGCACGTTAGTTGGAGGTAAGGTTATCTCAGTCTGCTCTGGTCTGGCCTCAAATTTCTGTTCTCCTGGTGCCCTGTTGCGATTGAGGTGTCGTCTGTTTCTGCGATATTTCCTTCCACTTGCTGTCTCAACTACGTAAGATCTAGGAGTGTGATGTTTGTATGACACTACAGCCGGTACCCACTGTCTCTGTGTTTCATCGTGACAGTATCTCCAGTTTGAAGTGATTCCAACTCCGTCCACAGTGTCGATCAAAATAATGTTTTTGCGTGCTTTTCACTTTTTTTTGAGCTTCCCGACTACTTCTTCCTGTCCTTGCGGTCTCAACAATTCTGCAGTGGTAGGTAATGTTGTTTTCAGACGCCGACCCATCATCAGTTGACCTGGGGACTTGTTAATTGCGTCAAGTGGCGTGGTTCGATAGCTAAGCAGGGCTTTATTTATGTCGACGGACTTTGACATCAAGTTTTTGGTTGTTTGAACTGCTCTTTCAATTTGTCCATTTGATTGCGGGTAGTGAGGGCTGGTTGTTGTGTGCGTGAACTCATAGTCCTTTGCAAACTCCGCAAACTCGGCTGTTCGAACTGAGGCCCATTGTCGCCATTACGACTTCATCGGGTATACCATATCTTGAGAAGTGCTTCTTCAGTGCATTAACTGTCGCCTTACTGCTTTGGTTTTCGAGTTGGTCTACTTCCATCCACTTAGAATAATAGTCAACAGTACACAAGTAGTGATGACTGTTCATTTCAAACAAATCTGTGCCTATTTTTGCCCATGGCCTGTTTGGGGAATCATGTGGTATCATTGGTTCTTTGGCTTGCTGTCTCTGGTGCTGACTGCATGTATAGCACTTGGCTACTTTGTCTTCAATTTGCGTCGACATCCCTGGCCAGAACAGCACATCTCTCGCTTGCTGTTTGCACCTGACAACCCCAAAGTGCCCCTCGTGTATTTTGTCTAACATTTCTGACTGCAGGGTGTGAGGCACTATCACTTTCGGCCTTTAAACAGCAGTGCATCAATGACTGAAATTTCGTCTTTGTACGCCCAGTACTGTCGGAGGTCTGGGGACAGCTTTGCTTTGCTATCTGGCCATCCCTCTAGTACTGTGTCAGTTAGGGACTGCAATACTGGGTCTGCTGCTGTAGCTTGTTGAAGCTCTAGATACTTTTCCTGTGAGATGGGAAGATAAGCTGTGAGACACACGTCACTGACTTCTAAGTCCTCCACGAGCGTTTCTTTGGTTTCTGGCAAGTAATGGCGACTAAGGGTATCTGCTAGTTGCATTTCATTCCCAGGCTTGTATGTAACCTTGAGGTCATACCTTTGTAGGCTCATCATCATCTTCTGCAATCGCGGAGGTGCCTGATGAAGATTCTGTGCTAAGATCCTCTCGAGCGGTTTATGGTCAGACTCCACGTGCACTGTTCGTCCATAAACGCACTGATGAAACTTCTGGCAGGCGTAAACTATTGCAAGTAACTCCTTCTCAATCTGTGCAAACTTCTGCTGCGCAACAGTCAAGGCTCTAGAAGCATATGCAATCGGCTTGTTCTCTTGTAGCAATACTGCACCAAGTCCGTTAGCACTAGCGCCAACGTTGAGGGTGACAGGCTTGTTTGGGTTGTAGTAGCCCAGTACCGGAGATTTGGTTACCATCTGCTTGAGTGTTTGAAAACTTTGTTGCTGTTCTTTGTTCCAACGCCAGACTACTCCTTTCTCCAATAGTCGCCTGAGAGGTGCACTTTCAGCAGCTAGATTAGGCAGAAATTTTCCAAGGTATTGGATAAAACCTAGGAATGTTCTGAGTTCTTTAACATTCTGTGGTGGTTGCATCGCTCGACTGCTCTGACCTTCTCTGGGTCCGGTTTCAAACCCTCACTGGTCAGGAGATGTCCTACATAGGGGACATGGTCTTTCCTCACTTGGCATTTCTTGCTATTTAACTTGAGACCAACCTCTCTCGCTCTGTTTAGGACTTGTCTCAACCTTGCATCGTGCTGGTCAGTACTGCTGCCCCAGATCAGTATGTCATCCACAATTGCTCCTGCAGTGGGCTCTGCTCCAGGTATGCCCTCCAACATCTCGGTCATGTATCTCTGGAACACCTCAGGGGCCGATTTGATTCGAAAGGGAGCCTTTTAAATCGATACCTCCCGAAGGGGGTGTTGAACGATGCACAACTTCGAGCTTTCCTCGTCTAATTCTATTTGCCAGAATCCTGATGTTGCATCCAACACAGAGAATACTTTGGCATCTGGCATGTCTGCAACTATCTCTTCAATCGTCTTCATAGGGAAGTGTTCTCGTTTAACAGCTAGGTTTAAATCTCTAGGATCTAAACAGATGCGAATCTTATTCGGCTTGACCACAGTAACCATACTGCTAACCCATGCTGTTGGTTCGATTTGCCTCTCTATCACTCCTGCTTTCACCATTCTTTCAAGCTCATCTTTGATTCTGCCCTTCAGTGCAACCGGTACCTTTCTTGGTGGATGTACCACTGGGATGACTGTTGGGTCAATTCTGATGGTATGTTTACCTGGTAAACATCCAAGCCCGTGGAAGAGATCTGGATATTCTAGTAGAATATCTGGACGTGCATCAGTAATAACCGACGAGTCTATGACAGAGTTCACCCGCTGGACTAAACTGAGATCCTTGCATGCTTGTGCACTTAAGACGGACAGCACATCACCTTCTGCAATGTAAAACTTCATGGGGTATGTTTTGTCCTTGTGTTCGCATAAGAGTGTTGTGCAACCATGAATAGGTATCTGGTGACCAGAGTATGACCTTAACTTGGCTGCTGTAGGTTGAATTGTTGTCTCCCCTCCTAGAGTCTTTAACGTCGTTAAAGACATAACATTGCATTTCGCTCCAGTGTCTAACTGAACAATAACTTTCTTGTTGTTGACGGTCAGCTCTTCGCGCCATTCACTGGTTTCTTTTGTCCGAGCTTCATCGCCACTTCCGCATTTTTCCACATATCGGACAGTTCTTCTCTTCTCTCTTGACTTGCAGACTTTGGCAAAATGATTTAACTTGGCACAAATCAGACATTTCTTTCCCTTAGCCGGACATTCTGCTTTACTGCTGTGTATGTAGCCACACATTCCACACTCCTGTTCAACTCCCGGTCTGCCAAGTTTCCTCTTGTCCAATTTCTCACTCTGCCTTCGAGCTTGATTCACTTTAACAGCGTGAATCTTGCTGTCTTCGTCCTCCATGGTTTTGAGTTGCGTTTGAGACATTTCCAGTGTGAGTGCAATTTCAACCGCTTTCTCTAACGACAATTCAGATCCTTCTTGTATCAACTTTTCTCGCACTTTCTTGGAGTTGCAACCAATGACAATTCTATCCCTGACCATTTCGTCTGGATCTGCATATCCACAATCTTTCACTAGCAGCTTGAGGTCAATAAGAAACTGTTCGAATGGCTCATTATCGCCCTGAACTTTCTTGTGAAACTTGTATCTAGCAAATACCTTATTCGATTTCGGCTTCACATGGGCTTGAACCTCTCGTAGTAGCTGTTAAGCTTTTTCTCCTCTCCATCTCCAAACGTCCAGGTCTGATATATGTCTCTTCCCTTTTCTCCTACCCAAATCATGAGATAATTGCATTTCTGTTCCTCCGATTTCGACTTTAACGGTCCGCCAAACATAAATTCAAGATGGCGTCGAAAACGACTTCCACGCAGTCGGTAAATCCTTGCTGTTCCAGTCCATTTTTGGTGTATTTGCCGATGACATTTCCTCCATTTCTTCTTAAACGTGATACGGAACTCTTTTTCACGATGGATGGCTACTCTAACGGGTCATTCAACTCGATTTACTCCTGGTACCATGTAATGTACGACCAAACCACACCATGTTGAGTGTAACAACTGATTTAATTAGTTACCCGTCATGCCTAGTACAGGCATGGCATTAACATACATCACAGTCACGCTTTTGGGCTCCTTGCTGTAATACTGATTTGAAACACAGAACAACATGTCGGCCATGATTTGTTATTTTCTGTTGGAGTTTTGGAGCTCCCTATAATGTCATTTAGAGCTCAACTTTGTTAGATGGTTAGTGCTTTTTGGGGAATCAAATGCTATTTTGCAGCCAGTCTCATCTTATGCATGCTAATATTATTATTACACCCTTTATACTACTACTTGAAAAATTTCTGCAGTTTTATTGGCTTAGAGTAGTGCTATTTCAGCTTAATTTGAAATACCTACAGGTGAAAATCGCAAATCTTTTGTGGGTAGTAGTGTAAACAAATAATAGCATGATTTGTGAATACCATTTATGATATTTCAAAATGGTCTCAAATTTCACTCGCCTAACAGCTCATGAAGGTACGTATAACTATTCTGAAATATCACTTGTGGTATTTATGCCAAATATCACTTGTGGTATTTATGCCAAATATCACTACAAATCATGTTATTACCTATGCTAATATCGTCTTAAAGAATATCTAACCCTCTCTTCTGGTTATTCCAATGTGGTCCCTGTTCATTCAAAGTCTATGGTTGTTTTGCTGAGGCACACTATTGTTGTTACATGAATACCATCTCTGTTTCATAGTTAGAAGCGTGAACCCAAGGTCTGTAAGACTTTCAGGATTAGCTCAGTCAGTAGAGCGCTTGACTGCAGAGCGGGAGGTCACGGGTTCGATTCCCGGGGCCGGACTACTACTCAGGGTCTTAAAATGACTGAGAAATGAAGGTACTCCCTTTGCACTGCGGGCGGCTGGACCTTCACAAGGCTCGGATGACCACGTAAAATGGTGGTCCCGTCTCCATTAGGAGACGTAAAAGATAGTGTCCCCAATTAGCACTTTCATGCTAATTACATTGACACTCAATGTATTATTCTGTTTGTTCATGCAGGTAGGCAAGGCAATGCGGAAGATGCATGAGCGGAAGAATGTTGGCAAAATAATCTTGTCACCCATGAAGGAACCTGAGCCAGAGCCAACACCGGCACCCAAACCAGAAGCAGCAGCTGCTGCTCCAGCAGAACCTCCTAAAGAAACTGCGGTGGGTGAACTTATAGCCTAAGGCCCAGTTCAAACGTCAAACTTTTCATGTACCGAACCTAATCTCTCCAGAGATCGACATTTACCGGTAAATCAATATTGGTCCGACATATCTAATTTGGGTCAACTCATGAATTAAGTTCTAGTGGCCTGACATGGAACATCATTTCTACTGCAGAGCAACTTTTTTTCAAGCGTCAAACTTTTCATGTGTTGAATGAAATGTATAAACTGCAATTGTTAATTTTTAACTGGGAAAGAAATTTAGACCATTGTACATCTTGAAAATGAATCGAGTCCAACGCCTGAATCAAATGCAAACTTGTATCATTTGAACCACCACCTGGTTAGCTAACCGCCACCTGGTTATCTGAGTTGGGAGAGTACCGGTCTGCTAAGAGGGAGGTCGTGAGTTCAAATCCCGGCCAGACCAACACTCAGGGTCTTAAAAATAACTAAGGAGAACGTGCTGCCTTTGTAACGAGATCTGTAAACGGTTAGTCAACTTTCTAGTCTTCTAAGATAAGGAAGAAAAACCGTAGGTCCCGTCTCACAGCACTTTCACTGATTTGATTTGGACGTAAAAGAACCTATACCACTGTTCAAAAAGAGTAGAGGACATAGACCCCAGTGGTGTAGTCAACCTCTCCTGGGCTGGGTGGGTTATCTGTAAGGACACTCTCAAATTGGAGCCCTGCTCTGTTGTGTGTTCCGCACCATATGGTGAAAGTGATAAAATAAATAAGTAAATAAATAAATAAATAAATTTGGGTTGACCCAAGTAGGTATTAAGGTCGGTACATAAGACGTTTGATGTTTGACCTCGGCCTGAGAAATCAGCAGACATTTCCTGAAGCCACCACTGGTCTCCTGCAAAGCGATGTCTGAGGAACAGTCGCAGAAATTCCGTACCGTCACCAGACAGTAGGGAGCTTAAGCAATGACGAGGGCGAAGGCTACGAAAACATCACTCCAAAATTTAATTCTCGCTGCGTCAAAAGTTATCATGCTATTCCACCTCGTTCAATTCACCAAATGTTGGCAATTTTTTCTGGAGTTGAATTCTAAAAGACTGTATCGAAGTTCAGGGAAAGAAAAAGAAAGTTGTTGTCTTGTGTTAACATCCTCTGCAAAACATGAAATTAAGTATTATCACATTGTAGTCGTGCAGTGATGGCAAAGAAATGAACACAAGCCTGCTGCACATGCGGAGTTGTTGTTTTGCCAAACTGAACCTATTGCTTTTTTGCCAGTTTCGTTGACGTCCCTGTCATTGTTGCTTAAGCTCCATAGGTTGAAGAACTGAAAAACATGTGGCCCTCAAAGTTATCCCAACCAGTAGTAGAGTCACATGTTGTGCACGTTCTTTTGGGTGTTTAGGTAAGACTAGACAATTTCACTTCTGGGCCTTGTTTGTGAACAAAATCCTGCATGAATATTCCCTTTAATATCATAGATGACGAATTACTCGTTAATTTTGGCGTGAAATTTCAGCGTTAATTTAATTACAAAATTGCCATGGCAACCTAACGTACATCTCAGTGTCAAGATGGTGACGAAGTTTTAAAATGTCATGAATGAAGATGTTAGGGCACAATAAGACGCTTTAAAAAACCTGAACACACAAAAGAGCGCATAAGCATAAGCCAAATTTAAGCTCTAAACGTTCAAGAGAGTGCAGGAGTTCTCGATCGATACTATCCAGGATAAACCTGTCAAAAATCCAAGGTAGCTGTCCTAATTCGTAACCCATGATATTAATAGGTAATCAAATGGTATACTCATGAAATTAGGGAATAATTTCACTTGTGTTTTGTCCAAATCCTAATAATTTCCCTCACCTAAAGGCTCGGGAAATTATAAGGATTTCGACAAAACGCGCGTGAAATTATTCCCTAATTTCACTCGCCACCACTTGATTACACATACTAACACTACTTCAGTGGCAAATCATATTAATGTAAAACTTTGCAAATTTAAAATTCCAAAGTGTGGCTAGGTGGGGAAATTTGCTGATCTGATCAGGATGTAAAAATGTGTAAGAACTGTTTTCCCTCTTCTTGGGTAGTCAAGGGTTTGGCCTACTCTTGTGGTCTGCGATGTAAACTTTTTTTTTGTCCTTGTTAATTATTTACTGCTACAGGAAGCAGAAGCAAAACCAGAGGAGAAGGCAGAAGACAAAGCGAAAGAGGAAGAGAAAAAACCAGAGGAAAAAAAAGAAGAGGCAAAATCAGAGGAACCAAAAGAAGAAGCAAAGCCAGAAGAACCGAAAGAGGAAGCAAAACCAGAAGAACCGAAAGAGGAAGCAAAACCAGAAGAACCGAAGGAGGAAGAAAAACCTGAAGAGAAAAAGGAGGAAGCTACTTCATGAAATGTGGTATGTGCAGACCATTTGTGATCGATATAAAATTTCTCCTTGTGATCTTTGATCATGTTTTGGGAGAGGTGATGAGAATTAGGAAATGATCACCCAAGAGATGAATTCTCTGATATTATTTTTAACTTTTTGCTGGTAGCAAAACATTTTCTTCTAATTCACCAGGCGTTGCAGTTAGATGCAACAACACAACACTGGTGGCCCTAAGAAAGGGTTAACATTATTAGGTGCTTGGAAGCCAGATGGGGGGGGGGGAGGTAGGCATTGTATAGTATAAGTAACCATCCTCTTTTAATCTTGGTGTTATCTCTTTTGCAGGTCACGATGCTTAGTGAGGAAAATTATGACCAAGTCCAGCTTGCAATTGGATAAAATTAACTAGTACTTCTACTTCTAGGTTTTCACAATAATGCATGTTTCATTTTATGGCAAATTAGAAGTTTCTTATCAGTAAATTTAGTTTATTTAGCCTGTCTCCGTTTGTATGCATATTGTTTTCTGGGCCTGTTCATCCCCAAGCTCCACTCCATCCCTGAGATCTTGGAACTGAGACAGACAGTGATGGGGTGGACAAAGGCAGTCCTTGTTAAAAATGGCGAGCAGAGCTTCATAGGTTGTGAAAACTTCAATGATCACTGAGTTAGTTAGGTAAATGATAAAAGCCACTATTATTTTGTTGCATCTTAGCACCCTTTGTTAACTACTGAAAATAAGCGTGTTGCAAGGTTTTAACATCGATAGATACTTAAAAATAGGTTTTGTTTGACGGATGGAAGATGAAAAAAAATATGTTTGTTCGTCTGGGTTTGAGGAGTCCTGCATCAAAACCCGTTTCTTGGAGGTTTGCTTTGCCCGCCCTTTTTGAATGCGGACAAGAGTTTGGAGACAACCTTCACTGCTTGGTGACATAATTTATTATCCTTTTTAGTTAAGAAGTTGAGCAAATCTGTCAGTAACTGATTGGCTCTCGTGTCTTAGCTTCTGGTTAATTAAAATTTAATAATTGATAAAATTTATTATATTACAGAGTTAAAATGAATAGTTTTGCAGTAGCTCGGCGCCCTTGAGTTCTGAATCTGATGAGCTAAACGCTGGAGAGTATTGCTTGCACTACAAATATAGTGATATATTTTTATGTTAAACAATAATATTAATAATATTAAAGAATAAAATAAACACTTATATAATTTGTTAAATCCTACAGCCATTATCTTACAATAAAGAGGTTCTTATCTTGACAAAATGACAAAAGTATGTTATTGAGATATATTATTTACATAATGAATAAAGGCCAATAATAAATGACAGCTATATTTATCCAACTGACTCGTGACCTTTATGTAATTAGACTAAAACATTTTCCCTCTTCTTTCTTATTTGAAAGCCATGATACGCGACAACCTTGTCCCGGGGATTTTGCCTTAGAAAATTGCAGGGAAAAGCCCTAAGGACGAGGTTGGATACACGAGCCTCTGACAAGTACCTCACTGCAGTTGCCCGTGTCCGCCTGGTTTGCCTAAAATCCGGAATCCGGAAACCCCATACCGAACGCCGAATGACTCTAAAGTTTAGAGATTAGGGTTAGAAAACTGAGTGAAACAAGTTTCAGGTCGGTTTGCCCAGTTCAATGACCCTAAATGGTACCTGATCCACTCAGTTTCCTACCTTTAATCACTCAGGGTCGGCCAGAGCTAGGAGCAGAGGACCCTCGCAGATTCTAGGAGATCACTGAACGCGGTTGACGCCTATCCACTGAATCTACCCATTTATCCACCTATAGTTTAGTGGTTTACAAGACTTGAGCAAAGTATATAGCTAACTTCACCGCTGTTTAAGGAGAGAAATTGCGCAAGCTAACTGAGGTCGTCTCTTTCACTGGTAAAAGTCTAACCAACAAGCTGTTTATTTACTTAACTTTTTAAATAGTTTTCTAGCAAAAAGTTTGAGTGTTTCTGAGTGTTTAAAAACTGAGATTGGTTTTAACTGTGGGAGGTCATTTGTCAAAATGACCATACTGGCTGCAAACTGCAAAGCTTTGTCAACTAAAAGAAGTTTATATCACCCTAAATGTAACAATGCAATACAGGGGCGGATCTAGGGGGAGGGTGCAGGGGGTGCGCACCCCCCCCCGCTGAGATGACCTGCGGTTTTCTAATACAACTGGTATTCTGAAAAGAAAAACTATGTGGTTTATTGGTGTTGAAGTAGAGCAAGAGACGAGTGCACCCCCTCCTAAAAAAATCCTGGATCCGCCCCTGCAATAAACGCCCAAGACGTTTGACCGCGGTGGGTTAGCTAACCGACCGAGCACCATTAAAGAAGAAGAAAAAAAGAGCATCTTACTTCGTTCCCAGGGTCCTGTCACTTGCTTAACCTGGGAACGAGGTTGAGGAAAATGTTGTCAAAGAAAACCTCTCGCTCGTACAAGCAGGAAGACGGAGACAAAAAAAACTTTTGCCAAAAACAGTTATGTATTCCTTTCTAGTACACGAGTAAGTTTGTCAAGGGAAGCTAGTTTCTTGATGAAGCTTACAGAGAGTGTATGTAGAAATAGAAAGAAAAAAAAACAGGAAACGCGCGTGAAAAGAATGCACACGCCTTACGCCTGCTAACTGCTTCACTGAACAGAACTTTTGTGTTGGACAACAATAGCGACAATGGTCGCAGAAGTTCATTAAGTTACGTGCCGGAGCTGAAGCGGGTTTGCGTGATCTACACGACTCAGCTTTGCCTGTTATCACGAAAGGTGACAAAAGGCTAAGTATTAACATCAGTTTGTCTTGTAACTTTGTGGACGACATACATGTACCAGCTCGATCCCTACAACCTGACGATAACCAGTAAAATCTTGCATTGACTTTATTCGAGCGGCAACATGCTGTGTAAATCGTCCCTGCGCAGTGAAGCGGTTACAGAAAGAAAAAAATAAACAAACAAACAAAATGAAAACTAAAGAAAAAGCATATGTTAAACAATGCAGATTAAAACTCCGTACTGATTGATAAGAACCATCTTCTGTTCTGCTCGGTAAGGAACCTTATCATTTGGTGTACGTCTTCAGTTGGTCTATGCCTGAGGACCAGACTCCCTAATAAATGTTACAGCAAAGAAAACTGTTGTGCACGTACCCCTCCCTCGCTCCTTCCACCCCCACCTTCTTGTCCCAGAGGTTTTTCTTGAAATTTTTCTCCACGAAAGAGAGAACGAGCCACGAAGCGGCGAGGAGAAAATTTTCAAGAAAAACCTCTGCGACAGGATATTGTGTAGGCTAATACCACCAACACCCAAGCAGTTCTCTTTGTCCCTTTTTGGTGTTTTATGCCTTAACTATGAACTAAGATTTCGGATAAGGTTATGGATACGAAAGGTAGAGCGTACTCATCAACTGACTCATGACCCTAGAAAAGCTATACGAGGCGTCTGCAACAGCCAAGTAGGTTAATCCTCGGATCTCAGTTTGTTCTCATCGGATTAGGATCAGGGAAATCGTCTTATTTGTACGGCGGAAAACTCTTAATTATGACGGAGGATTCTTGTATTAATAACTCGGCGAAAGCAAGTTTCCTGTCCTATTTTAAAAGTTTATCATGAGCTCTTAACAAACATAAAATTATTTTTTGAAATTATTCCCGTTAAATGTGTGTAAGTCACCACAGACATAAAAATGAAAAGTGTTTTCCGTCTGTTGCGTGAGAAAATCGACAATTTATTGTTTGCTGGGAGTTTTTGTGATTTCAAGAATTCGTAAGACAGTTGCGGTCTGCAAATTCATGAAAGGCGTGAGCATGATTCTGGTAGATGAAATTCCATCTGAAAGAAATTTCCCACCGTCTGATACGAATTCGCGAAATAACTTCACGCTACAATTTCATACAAATCTCAACGAGTGATGAAGTTTTAGATTGTCTTTATTTTATCATTTTTTCTTTCTTCACAAAGTCCGTTAGGACCCCCTTCCCACCCCACCCAAGCGAGTGTGGCAAGGGTCTGGCGAGGGTGATCCGGGATGCGCCCCCCCCCCGCAAACGGTACCCTTTTCAGACTCTTTCCGGTTAAAACTAGTTAAAACTAGTGTATAAAAGGCCCGGGGGGACTCTCATATAAAAGTGACGGGGATGCTCGCCAGAAAATTCAAATTTTACTCCAAAGGGAGACCAATGTGGGTTCGGCTCAAGCTTAAACTGACACCTAAGGGAGATTTCTGTGTGGTCTGTGTCAGGGCATTTTTTGTAACTTTCTTAATGCACAGTACTAAGCGATGACTGATTGGACAATTATAGTGACTTTCCATGCCAAACACCCTAAGTGAGATCAATATCTGCAATTTATTATATGGGAGTTCCCCGGGGATAAAAGGGTAAAAGTTAGGACTTCCTAAACGTTGTTAAGTAGACCCCCGGGGGTGTACTCCCTTATATAAGCCATACAGGTATGTGCCGCCCCATCGGGTAGGGTTTTTGCGCCGTTTTGGTCTGAAAACGGGTACACACTTTGTCCATTTTGGTCTGGAATCAGGTTGGGTTTTCGAGGGAACTACGGGAGTGTATGAACATTTTTACCGTTTCAATTCCAAATGAGTAAGAAAGAAAGAGAAATATGCGAATTCGAAATAGATTTGAATAATTTTTGTGTTTGCGCCCTAATCTAAGTAATGATAACATAATTTCTGCCTAAAGGCCTGGTCTGAAAACGGGCATGGATTTTAGAGGTCTAGTGTGAAAACGAGTGAAGAAAATCACATTTTTTGGTCTGAAATCGGGTCAGGATTTGAAGAACCGGGCGGCACACCCCCACCAAGAATTCCCAGAAGTACTCCCCCCCCCACCCCTCCCGGGAGTAGACTCTTCCCTTCCCCCACTTCCCTCATCCCGATGGTATCTTTCGTAATTCAATCTTTGTCTTAGCGATCAAAAACAATAAGATACAGTGACAAAAGAATCTCAACATTGAAGAGAGAGTCAGTGTAGGTCGATGGGTCAAGGCAGGTCGAAGCTTGTATAGAAGCTTAAATACAATGTTCCCTAGAATTCCTCAAGATTCCAATAGGGCAACGGCCACACAATATACAATGTGTATTGTATGAGAGAGGATTAACTGACAATCCTTCCTCGTGATCAAATGTCAATAAAGCTTGGAAAAATTCAGTTCCTTCCCTACTAATGTCTTATTCTGATCGTGTCCACTGCAGCGTGATCACCTCTGGCTTTTGCGTATAACAATATCATAATTTGTAGATCTCTCTCTTTGGAGACCGCGGCACTTTCATCACTTCTTCCCATCCTACCCTTACCTATCACTCTATTATCCTCCGTCCCTACTCTGGCATGTAACTTTGACCTAAGCGAGACCGGTGAATGATTTGTATCAGGGATTTGTATTAGGTTTCTGCTCTTGAAATTAGGAAAACGCCTGTCAACAGCTCATTCTCTCCTTTGGATGTAAAAAAAAATCTCTTCCGCTCTTCTCTAAATTATTAAAGCCAAACGGGTAAAAGTTTGTTGATCCTACATGCTTCAAATGTTTAATATTGGATTTTACACCAATCAAAATACTTATTCTCTATGCCTATTATTGTTTAAACTCGTTATTTTCTATATATTAATTTATTTATATTTATTCTCTGTTTCGAGTAACGTTATGGTAGAATTGTTGATCTTGAAGAACAAGTTATTTTCGACATATTAGATTACCTAAGCAATAGTACATTCCGTCATAAACGTTCAAGTTACATTGTCAAATATGTAAGGTGGCTCTGAACACCATGTTGATCATGGAATCTAGATGATTTCAACTAAGGAAATACAAACTTAAATGAAGATATGGTCGTCGCAGTGGTAATTGCATGCAATTTAAGCAACATGTTTGTATTTCCGCATATCTTAATTTAAGTATGTTGTTCATTATAACCAAACCCGTCGAACTAAAACCTAATGTAAAGTTTTTTTTCCTTTGGGGGGGTGGGGGTGGGGTGGGGGTTGTTGTCAAGGTGTCACTCTGTTGATTTTATAACCTGCGAAGTCAAGCAAATAACTGAGACTTGAATGTTCAAACAACAAAGTATGGTCATTTGTTCTCACCATCATCTCTTCATAGAAGTAACTTACAAGTAGACTATAAAAGAGTGGTGGAATCATTGAAAATTCTCGGTAAATTGATATGTGTCACCTTTTAAAAGACTTGAAGTATGACATCTTACCCAAAATAAATTTATCAGTACATCACCTTGACATACGGATCTGAATTTTCAGACTACAAAAATCAGTTAATCATGTTTTAATTGCTTTCGTATTGTTGTTTTTGTTGTTTATTTGTTTTTCACAAAGTTGCTAGGTTAGCCCGTGCTCGGACATTAGTGTGTGAGACTCGAGAAGACAGCTGAAGGTCACTGAGGCTAAGAGACAGGAAAGATATGTCTAAGCAGTGAACATAATCATCTTAGGTAAAGGTTCAAATCCCGCCTACAGGGTCACATACAAAAAAAGGTCTGTTAACAGACGAAACACCATGAAGTTTTATGGTTCACCTCGAATGTAAAATTTCCACCACAATGTGCCACTGAGTTTTGATAGCTGCACTGCTTTTATTTGCTTGACCAAAGACTTCAATTCCTGTACTTTCGGGGCCTTCGCAAAGCTACATGAGTAACCAAACTTCGACCTCGATCTGTCAGCTATAACTCACGCGTATCCGTGTACTCGTTTTGACTGTCTCTGTGTTATTTCCCAGATTTTTTCTCAGTCGATACAAACATGATTCAGTTTCTTTCCATCGCCCGGCGCACATGACCAATGATTTGAATTTGCCGACTCTCTCAAACTCTCGAGCTTTAAAAGTATTTAAATTCTGAAGATTCAGAAAAAAAATGAAAAATCAAAAGAATCCTTCATTTCATTTGTTAAATGTTGAAAATCATACTGATTATAGCATACAAAAGTTCATCCCTTCCAAACAAATTTTACTTGATCCCAGCAGCAATAACGTTCAGTGAACGTTACGCGTTTTCCACGTGAATCCTGATTCTTCGGGCGATTCTTCGAAACACGTGTGTGCGCTGGTCACTCTCTAATGAATGCGTGTAAACAAGAAAAATACAAGGCAAACATACAGGTTTGAACAGGTGTAGCCCGCACTTAGCCAATCAACGCAGAGCTCTAAAACAATACATTACATGCTGCGTAACAGGATGATGTATTGTTCAGGCGGGAAAACAAAAACGGTGCTTCAATTAAAGGTCCATTTCATGATTGGCAGGTTTTATCAAATTTGGTTTTTTTGGTAATTCTAATGAGTTTTCTTCCCCGTAAAAGGCAGGTTTCTCATTAGTTAAACATACAGTTCGTGACAATAGCCAGTTTCTTAAAAACGTTTTAGAACTACAATGATTCCGCCTTTGGAAAACGTGCTTATGGCCATTACATTTAAAATCAGTAAATTCAGCTGCTAGAACAGAAGGCTCTCATTATACCCTCTGCTTCAGTTTGCTTTTCTTAAATTCATTGACAATAATAAATATTCTTCTGTCCTGGTAGGCTGAGTAAGAGTCTTCATCCATCATTATAAAAGTACACGGTTAACGGTAATTTAAGGCTAATACATTGTAGCTGGGGAGCCAAAAAATGAAAAAAGCGGAAAAAGCGCGCGTTTAAAATAAAAAGGGAGAAAAATTAAATTAATTTTTACGTCCTTTAGAAACTTGTCAGTTGTTCTTTGCCCCGCGTCACATTTGCAACCAAATGAAACTGTCAAATACTTATGCGGCAGGAGGGGGACTTCGTGGAAACTCAGGTTTCCAGCAGGGAAGTGCATGCGGGAAAATTGTCAAATAATTCTAAACAGTATTGTTGAACAGCATAGCAACAAACCGATATAACCAGCCTGTGTTTGTAAAGTCCCTACTTTCCGTTTTCACTCGCATTCTTGATATAATCACAATTGACCAACTTATCTGTGTGATAATGAGGGCAGGGCGTTGGATCGGAGGTGTCAGTTTAGAAGTCGTAAAATCTTCAGATGTAAATATTATGTATTACCTATAATACGCCTTGTAACATCCCCCAAATTCTGCATCATCATTGTTTCCAATTTCTCCTTGGTACTGCCGTTCCAAGAGAAACTGAAGAAAATGCTTATGCAAACAAAGCGTATTATGGGCAATGGGGAACTCTGCTGTTTTTGTTTGTTTGTTTTGTTAAACAAACTTTAAACTTTTTCTCGTTAGAATGACGTACTAGCTGCTCCCTTGACATTCGGTGCGCCTCGCCAAAGCGGTCCTGATGTGGAGCTCCGTTGCAAGCTAGCAAAAGTTTATAAAATGTCAGCAAGTCCACAGCAACAAACCAATGAGTGGTGCTGGATCTCCCAGTTGTAGACCTGGATCAGTACAATTAAACTTGTGGAAAAACGTGAAAAGGCAAACTGATCCTTCAGGTGAGCTAGGCGATGAAGCCGAGTAAACAAAAGAATAAAATAAAAAATATATATATTTAAACAAATTGCCCAATTGCCCAATTTGTTTAAATATGTATATTTTGTTTTACTCTTTTGTGTACTTCTTCATCGCCTTGCCGTAAGAATCAGTTTGCCGTTTCATATTTTTCTACTAGCAAAAGTTTGGCTGGCTATGCAGGACGTGGATATGGACTGGTTTTTTGTCTCTCTCTTTGAATGCAGAAAACCTTAGCTTGCGATTATATCTGTCTCTCCTCGGTTGTGTTCGCAGGCTAAGAAAGCCTCATTGTTTCGTGTAACTTTGTATTAAAGGAGGGTTAAAGAGGTTTGTGACATGGATTTATTATCGACCCCTGTAATTTTCTCAGTTGTTCTTTTTTGGTATTGCAGCACCATGCGGCAACACCCTGATATGCTAGAGGATACAGATTCTAACTTAAACTCAGTTTTATTCCTGAGCTGGTCATGTTCGAAGTCATAAAGCCATTCATCTCATTCTTTATCGCCGCTTGCTTTATCTTTCTCCACAAAAATTTAAAATGATAGAGTCTAGACTTCAAGTTGAGGTTTTTCCTATAGAGCCAAGTCCAGGTTTTGACTTTGCTATTTTCAACAATGGCGTCTTTATGATTAAACGCCTTTCAGCACTGATTCACAGGTCGGGGGCTTTTGAACTTAACAACTTTCGAGGTGATCTTTTAAAAAGGTAGAACTCTACCATTTCAGTGAAAGGTTTGAACCCAGGAGTCATTTCAAAAGTAGGTTGAGTTTGATCGTCCGGGTGAACGTAGTCCTGAATAGGACTGTTGTTGTTGACAGTGACTGACGTTTCGACAACCTGCTGTGCGGTAGTCATCTTCAGAGTCAAAGGGACTACCAAAGAGAGAGTCAAAGTCAACCATTTCAATTAGATTCTTTTAAGATAGGTGGCCTAAAGTTCAGACCTCAGTTGTTCGAAATCGATTCAAAAGCGAATAGACTCCATCCACTCCGGCGGATAAAACTCTATCCAAAGATGGCGCAATTGGTTTCCTAATACTTATCCGCTTCGCGAATAGTGATGTATTCTGTGGATAGCTCTATCGAGGATTTGACTTCGAAAAACCTGGGCCAGAGGAGTTCCATTTCGGGTGCTCATCGCGATCTGTACAAAATACACCCCGCTGGGGTCGACATTCGATACTGATGCAATTCTATTTTGAAACGCTTTCAAGCGATGGGTTTGGAAACTGAAACATCGAAAAAATAGAAATTAACGAGTTTCCTTTATAAACAAATTTATCGTATCCCATGGCTAAATTTGCCCACAAAGTTGACCAATCCGCTCGTTGGAGTCTCGCTGAGTCTCTATACGTTACGTAACGGCTTCTGGTACTCTGCTCTGCTCTGTACTTTTTGCCATTTACAAAATTTATCGCCTCTGCTAAAAATTTTAAAATATCCAAAAATATACATTCCTTTTTATATACGATGTAGGTTTTTTGACAAAAAGAAAATGAATCTTCACCCATGCCAAAATATAATGGTGTCAGAGCTCAAAAACTTTTGTCAAATTCATATCACACGTTCCGCTGAAAAAAAAAAAAAGATCTCTCTTCGTTTTGAACAAATTAGATATCCGGATGCTGTGAGACCAATACAAATACTTTTAATTAGGCCGTTTAGTAGAGCTCGCGAAGTTTGCGTAAAGTAGTCCTTTGAAAATGTATTTCTTTGTCAAACTTGGCCTCGGGGTGACCTGTTAATGTATGCTAACCCCCCGTTCATCCGGGAACTTTTCAAGAAGCTGGCTTCTGATTGGCTGTCAGCAGGTAGTAACGTGGTGGCCAGTGAAAGCATGATATTCGTGTTCGAGTTCAACTCAAAACCTTTCGCTTATTCACCGAAGAGGAATTTTTTGTCGACTTTTTCGCACTCTTTGAGCTGTGTCGACTGCATTTTGTGTAGGTTAGTTTTGTGTTTTGGTGTTTGACCATGTTTTTATCGCATTGTTGACCCTGTATGACATCAATTACTTCACTTGGAGCGCTTGTGAGGGCAGCCAAAATATCCTTCGTGTTTCCCACATTTCGCTTTTGTTCCCTTGACGTTGCAAACAAGCATGGACGTTACCACTTGGCGTTTGCACAGTTACATGTTATTTAAGGGTACTCGACTTCTGAGGAATTTTTTTGCAAAATTTTAGTTCAAATTGTTTAGGTTATCGGGGACAGGCATCAATTTGCACATATGAATCAACTAGTGAACGCGAATTTCGCATTGTTATTGTGGACAACTTTCCTCCACCTGACCCGACTTGGCATGAAGGCTTTTGTTTTTCCCTCCTCGCTCCACTTTTGTGAATATTTCCCTTACTTCGCGGTTCTGAAGCTCAACTGGACGCTGTCACAGTAATTGAATCTTGTTGTAAACGAAGACTGTAAAGATAATAATAGGTTTTGACAGGGGGAATTTTTATCGTGTTGTAGTGTTGCCTGAACCGGCTTCGCTCCTGTATTTCAACACGAACGCACTTATCGTTTAATTTTAAGCTCTTCAAGAGACAGTAGTTCTTCTTCTAATGACTGCTTTTGTTTTCAAGAAAAGTGTGCGTTTTGTTCGTAGGGTTTTAGCGTTTCAAAAAGAAATTGTTTCTAAATTGGCAAGCATTCCGTCGGATAACAGACCATGCGATGTAATGTGCGTACGTAAGGGACTTGCTGGCTTACGCAAACCCTCTAGTTCGCATTTCATTCATTCGTATCGCATACGTATTTCAAAGTTGATGGTTCGTCTTTTATCCATCGTTTTACTTTTGTCCTGTTTACATATCATATTACCTTTAATTGACTTTCTTCTACAGTTTTCCAAGGATTATAGTTGTTGGTCTTTAACTTTGTTCATGTTCCGTGACCTTTAATTTTCCCTTTCAGAACGGCTCCTTTGACGGCGGCGAGTAGAATAGTCTTGTTTAACATCCCACCTTCGCTTTCATGGCCCATCAGGATAGTCAAAAGATTAAGACGGATGAAAGGAAGTAGAGATGGACACTTAACGGCCCACGGCACTGGCTTAAAATCGAGTTACTTGCGGTAGCTCAATCGCCGATGACCCATCATGGCGGATCCATTTCTGGGAATCTTTGATGGAGTCAATAACGGCCTGGATGATTTAGGTTTAGGCTCATCGTTGGGCTCGCATGGAAGCCAAGGAACACAACTACAGCATTCTGCTTCTTTTCCTGGGTTTCAGTCGCAATCGCCGTCAAACTCGAACCAACCCAAGCTTCAACATTTCGATGAACGATCTTCAAGCTCCCCGTTTTTACCTCCGTCACAGAAGCTTCAACATTTTGACGATCCGTTACTCTCTTCCTCGCCGCAGCGGTTTCATACCATGCAGTCGCCCTCACAGCAACAGTTTTCCGAATTTCGTTCGCCATCACAGGTTAACATGTGTTGGCCTCGTGGCCAAGCATCTCGTAGCTCTCCTAACTACAGCGGATACACGCAGGGATCTGAACAGTCACCCTTCCGACAGCCATTTGGCTACGGCTTTCCAAGATCATCTTCTCCGAGGCTACAGCACTTTGCTAATCAATCTCCCATGAATTCTTCACCCGATCGTTTTCCAACTGGTCCTTCACAATCCCCTAGACTTCAACTTTCAAATCAGTCATCATCGTCTGTTCCCTTTTCCGGTTCCTCTCCCAAAGGCTCAAGCCCCAACACAATGGAGCTGTCTCAGCAGCAGAAACACAAACAAATCAGTCCTCAGCAAGCACTTTATAGACACTTTCAGGCTTCAGAAGGAAATCAACAGCAACCAGAACTAGGGGGACAAAATCGTTTGCAGCATCTGATGGCAGGAAATGTAGTTGATATGGATCAAGGGAAGCCTCCACTCTCTGGGCAAGGGGAAGGAGCTTTTGGTTACAATCCTTATCAGGGTGGACCTCAACCACCCATGGCTATGCATCAGAATTCACCTCAGTCTGGTTATAATTCACAGCAGTTTCAAAATCCACAATATGGTAGTTTCAATGGAGGAATGCCTGGTGGGGTTGACAACAAGGACATGTACGGTGCAGCAAACCAGCACAACATGGCTGCGCAGCAACGTGGGTATCCATTTACTAATCTGAATATGTCAAATCCTCAGGATTTGATGCAAGTCAAGACATCAGCAATCTTGCTTCAAATGCAGCGCATTCAACAGCAGATTCAGCAAATGCGGGAAATGGGACAGCCGGCTCAACTTCAGCAGTTACAAATTCAGTTTCAGCGGCTGTACCAAGTATATGTGATGCAACAGCAGCAGCGAATGCAACCAAACTTCCAACCTCAAAATTATGATCAGCTAAGGTTTTTTCAACAGCAAAGACAGCAAGAGAAAGCCAATAGGATTGCTGTAGAGGCAATGGCCAAAGCTGCATTACACACTACTGATGGAATACCTTCATTGCCTGGGTTTCCTCAAATGTCGTCGGCCCAGCGAATGATGGGACATCCATCTGCAGTTAGTACGGGAATGATTGATTTATCAAGGCACCCTAAGCCTGCAGAACCTATTAGCCTGGGACCCTCTATTGTTTCAAAACCTGCACCAGTACGGAGCACTCATACTTCAAGGTTCTGTTTTATTATTAATTTTGTAAACATGAATCACAATCTCTGATTTTATCAAAGGGCACTGCTAAAGTCAAAGCATAAGGAAATGGTATTGCCATATAAAATCCATCTTCTCTACATGCCCAATACAGTGTTTTCTTATTGCCTTGATACACAGATAATGACTTGACATTGAGCTTCACTTTCCCTAGGATAATATCACATAATGTGTTGTCCCATTGTGTTTTCCTTTTTGTTGTAATTTATTTAAACCACAACAATTAAGTTGACATGGGTGCTTTATTGTTTATAGGCCTCCAGCTACTGTCTTGGCAAAACCAGCCCCTATTCGTAATAGAAAAGATTCATCTGATGCAGAACCATCGCCTCCCAATTCACCAAGCTATTTTGAAGAGGATATTGAATCCAGTATCACTGTAAGTTGAGTAATGCTTGGTTTGTTTAACATTAAACAAGATGATTACCATTACCATCAAATTTCAACTATTTTTTTTCAAAGAACATCTTTCAAATAGAATTTAGAAATTGTGTTTTATTGTTTAGTATTACAGTTAAAGTCATATATGAACAATTAGACATCTCAGCCTGTCTAATTTGCATTTATGGACACAAAAATAAACAAACGTGGCCTCGTTTTGTGTTCAGTCATTTATTTTACAGTATAATTTACAACAGCTGGTGCAACCACTCTGTTGCACACAAATGAATCTGTCTTAAGAGTTTACCAATGGTCTCTCCTGTTTATTATGTCCTCATCCTCTGATATTTTAGCGCCGATCTCTCAGAGAACGTAAAAAGAAAACGTACAAGGATGACTTTGACTATAACTTGTCTGAAGAGGAAGGAGAGAAAGAGCCCATCAATGACGTTGCAGCTTCGTCAACTTTTCCAACTGATGTTGCCGCCAGTTACTTTCCAGTGGCGCCAGAAGTGGAAGAGACAACAGTAGTTGAAAAAATTCTGGCTATGAGGACTAAACAAGTAAGGGGAAAAATTGTAGGCTATTAACTATTATATTTGATTCTGTTAGAAATCTGGCTCTTTATGTCATTTTGTAACAATTGAGGATATGGCAAGGTACAATGGCTGTTATACCATTTAGCACACTTGTCTGGTGTATCTAGATCTTATGTATAATTCTCTCTTAAATAAGAATTATGTCTTCTTGACTTATCATCAGTCTTTAGTTTTCTAAAGTTTGTGTTCAATGAAATCAATATTTCTTTCAGGATGAAGAACTGGGAAATTATGAAGAATTTTTTGTCAAGTTTAAGAATTAGTAAGTTGAACTGTGATCCTGAATTTAACTTAAGTATGAGTTTTGTGGAAACTTACTTATCATTCCATATCATTTCTTCCTCAAGCTCGTATCTTCATTGTGAATGGGCAACTGCTGAAAAGCTAGCGAGAGGTGATAAGAGAATACACATGAAAATCAAGAGATATAAAGCTAAACAGAATGCAGTGGCTTTCTTCAGTGAGGTTTGAACGTTAATTTCTCAATTTTTTAGCCACTGCAGCGGAAAACGATCTAGCGCCTAATGCTGTGCCGTTATCTTATTGAATTCTTTCTTGGTGCCAATTTCTTGATAATACAATTTGTTGAATTCTTTTATTTTGGTTGACAGCTTGATGAAGAACCATTTAACCCTGATTATGTTGAAGTTGATCGTGTACTGGATAAGTCTACAGGAGTTGACCAAAATAGTGGAGAGGTAAGCTAGAAAAGTCTAATACCGGAAGTATGTCCACTTAAATTCTTATTGTGGGAGGTCTACGTGTAGTTAATGTCACTGTTACAAGTAAGTCTCCCAAATAGTCTGATTTACTGTGCTCTACCCAAAGACCAATAATCACCCTTTTTGGGCAACAATATTGTGCAAGAGGACCATTTTTTTTAGTGGTAGTTTGAACAATAATTAATGCATAGTGGATATAAGAAGACGAGCATTGTATGAATAATGATAGTTAGATCATTGTTCATTATGATCAACCCAAGCTCCAGCTTTATTACTGTTGCATCTATTAAAGATTGCTTTGCGTTACACTTTTTGAAACAAGTGGTTGGTTTTTGTGGCTTGTCGCATTAACACATTATCAAGGTGAGAATGATTATGTTAGAGTTATATCACTGTCTCCAATTAGCGATAATCTGTGCCACAGTCAACTGATAACAATAATGTGGTTTGTAAATAAAAATGCTGTCTTCAAGTTATTAATAACCTGATATTACCCTTTCTATTTTTGTCGCCAAATCTTTTTAACTTTACACTTTGCATGCATGTATATCATATTTGCCCAGATGATGATAACCATATTTGCGTGAACATGGCTGGTCTTTATAAGAGAGGTCATGGATACACGTAGTTAAACAGGAGAAGGGATCAAAGTGAGATAAAAATAATCACACCTTTCTTTCCAACCCCATACAAAAACCAAATGCATGCAATTGATTTCTTTTAAGTTCCTTATATCTTTTAAAGAGGCAAGAAATACCATGTGTTCCTCTTTGAAAAAAGGGATTTTTTTTTTCATTATTTGTTGATAGAGTAAGGTGCTAGGACATTGCTTAAGATGAAGCTGGTGCATGGAAATTAACTTGTTAGGCATCACTGATAACAAATTGTTAGAATGAATTCCTTGAATGTATTTCTGCCTGAAAGTGCATACAGTTGAAATGACGTTAAACTTGCATCAGTCTAAAACTTGTAAAATATGTGGAAGGTACTTTTTAGTGTTGATTTACCTGTATTAACACATAGTTAGATAAATGTCACATGTAAATCTGAAAATAATAGTCACAGATTTTGAGCATTGGCTAAAGCTATTAGATATGGGAAATTTAAGGTTAATGCACTCGTGTAACTTCAGAACAGAGTTAGTTCAGAATCACATGATCCAAAGCTACATTTATATATTGGCATAGTGTAGTTTGCAGCTTCATTTGTGAAATGTATTAAACCAGACCTTGCCGTTCTTGTCTGAGTATTATGCAAATGTTAAACATTCCACCCTTAGGGAACATAAATAATTAATTTACACCTCTTTCCATGCATGAAATAGAGTTTTTATCTCACCCCTTTTAAAATAAATCTTAGTGTACTTTACAAGGTGTTAGCAGATATATTGAGAGTAGCATTTTTACAGGCATCATTGGACTGCATCTCTGTTTTAAATCTGTGAAATAGTGGAGTTCATGGGATTAACCCTGAAAAGATATATGGTATCAAATGTATATTGCACGGTGCAATATTTCACACGTAATTTATATTATGCAAAGTCAAACATGTTGGCGGTTCCGAGTTGTATGGATATAATTTTCTTTTTAGTACCTTGCTTATGGTTTGTAAAGGTCGTATTCAAGTGCGATGTGTTGAAGTGTTCAACAGCAGTAATGTGACTCTAGGTTCCCTTTCTCTTTGTTGAGCTCATTTTCTTGTTAAATGTTTTCAAAGAGTTTGTATTATTCATTTAACAAAAAAAATTTGTTTTCATCAAAACTCTTGTCCCATCTCTAGAGTTGCTTCCACTACTGACAGTGTACTTTCTGCAGATGTTTAGTTTTAATGTTCTGTCACTTTCTAGCTATTGTCTTCATGTGGATCATGCTGTTTGTCTAGTTTCTACAGTACTGATTTCATTATTTGAAAGTTAAGGTTGTACAACAGTCATTTGGTGTTTTTGGGCAATTAAAGTGGAAAGTAGTTTATACTGTGTAGCTGCATCAGCTCTAGTAAGGCTGTCATTGATAATTATCATGTTTCAGTGTGATTATTGTTCAGTCTCTGCAGTCTTCTTGTATTGTTTCATTTTTGATTGTACGCTTTGTATTTCATGCAATTACAAACTTATTATAACAACAATGATCATTCAAGTTGATTGGTGCTGTGAATGGAGGCACACAGACTAATTCAGGTTTTGTTTAACTTATCAAACAGAAGTACCAAAGCAAACAGTCTGTGAGCGTAAAAAAAGGAAAAATTTCCTCTTTGATATCGCTTCCTTCTGTGTTAATATATCAACTGAAGAAGGCTTTTAAGTTTTGTACTAAATCTTAATCCTGACCTTTGTTATTGAGAGCACTTGCAGTTTTTGCGGTGTGATAAAAAAGTTAGTAATGTCATATATTATGTAACTAAAGTTGCTTTATTCTTTGCCCTTCTTGAAACATGTCATGTGATCTGAACTGTTGGTTGAATTTCATGGCTGTTGAAATCTGGGCCATGTTGTTCAAAACTGGGTTGACTCAAGTCAGGGTTATAGCAAAATTTTAATTCGGATATGACAGTGTAAAGAGCAAATTCAGTTTAAATTTGTTTTTGTGTACAATTTGATGACTGGTTGCTCTGAAAAGAATACAGAAAATTATGCTAGACTATGCTTTTGAATGAAAGAAACCCGGATTGAAATTTACCTCAGGTTGGGTGCTAATCAGCCTTTGCACAACTGAGCCCTGAGTGGTTCACATGACATATACAAGCATTTCAACCAAAATTGTTCTGTGGTGCTGGTTAGGAATTTCTTAATGCACAAGATGTACATAGATGGTTAAAATCACTTTTAAGTTTAAATTAATGATGAGCAACTTAGATTGCATGACCATTTAAACTTCCTGTATCTATCCAAAACTCTTCACTGTTGGCTAAAAGAGTGTTAATTTTGCAGGTGAAGTTTAGTGTTTACTAAGTCCTTCCAGAGTTAACATTGTACTATTTTAAGATTTAGGTTTATTTGTTATGGAGGTTTACTTCTATTGTCCTGTTGCTGTGTATTTCAAACTCAGAACAGTGAAATGAGATCCTCCTAGAACAAACTTGATGCTTGTCAGACAAGTTCCTGTAGTTGTTGTCAGGACACTTCACTACAAGCATACAAAATATTCTCACTAAGGACAAAGAAGGGTCAGTGTGTGTTGTTGTTGGATAATTAATTATTTAAGTGACTTTTTTGGTGCACTTACAACAAACATCTGTCTCCTGTTAGGTCTTTACAAATCCATCTTTTGTAAAGTTGTCATTAAACATGTAAAAACTAACACAATAATGTGGGGAAATTTGGGCAACCTCGTGATGCCATTATCAAGGAATGGAAATAAATGCATCTTGAAGTCACCCAGCCTCGGGACATTATTTTGTTAGTTTTTCCATGTTTATGTTTCTCCAAATCATTATTGATTAAAGTTTTCATTGATAACCTTATTTATTGCCTCTCACAATTTGCTTGCAGCCAATCACACATTACCTTGTGAAGTGGAGATCACAGCCTTACGAAGAAAGCACCTGGGAAATTGAGGTAAAATTCACAAAGCAATTAAAACTCCTAGAAATAAAAAGTTCTTCCAGAGGTTTCAATTGAATGGTAAAACTGCAAGATTATTTCCCCATATTAAAAAGGCTGTCAGAGTGATTAAAAAACTCTCCTCAACTTATTTTGTTCTGCAAAAATTCCTGTCGAGCAAATGATTGCTTACAATGATTCTGAGAATTTGTCAATTTATACAGGGCTTCTGATATTTCGCGGAAAAAAAAATCGGCCGATTTCGTGGGATTTTCGCAGGAGAAAAGTCCATATTCGCAGAAAAATCGGCCGATTTCGTGGGATTTTAGCGGAAAAAAGTCAAATTTCGAAGGATTTTCAGGGAAAAATTCTCAGAAAAATCGGCCGATTTCACGGGAAATTTCGGGGAGAAACTTAGCCAAGAAACAATCTGTAAAAAACAGCCGATTTTGCTGGATTTTTTTGGGCAAATTTCACTAAAATCGATCAATTTTGCGTCGATATCACCAGCGTTGTTCTTTTAACAGGAATAATCATTTGCTCTTTCAACAACAGTTCGCTCGAGGAATGAGCGAATGCTTAAGCCATTAACATTATGGTTAGTGCCCAGTTTTTCGCAACATTAATCTAAGAATGCCTGGTAGTTTTGGGACGTTGTTTACTCTTTGCAGTGACGAAGTTTCAAGATAAATTTGGACGTTTGGGGTGAATAAAACAGGTCTAATGGCCAAGATAAGCATTAAATATGTTTTGCCGACATGTATTTGGAAATATTTCTGGCGGATTTCGTGGTATTTCGCGTTTTTGGGGGAATTTCGCGGGATTGCGCGGAAATACCAGAATTTTGCGGGTCCGCGACCGCGCGAAATATCAGAAGCCCTGATTTATAGTGTCTCAATATTTCTTTGCAGGCTGATGTTGATGAAGATAAGATCAAACATTTCCAAAAGCTTAAGGAACTCCCACCAATGCAACTAAGACAGGTATGGTAAATTAGGAGCAAGAGGAAGGAATGACGTACAGGCAAATGTTTTTTTACAGTTTTTGCCTTGTTAGCATATGCCTCTCATTCTGACAGGCATCACAGACCACCCTTATTTCCGATTTATCCTATAATTTGTATAGGATCCTATAAAGAACCTATATTTCAAAAAATCATCTTATATTACCTATAAATAGGACTTATTCTGATATCTGCATTTTGCACTGTGAAGCAATTTTGTTGTGAATTAAGAAAATCAAAATTCTTTATCAGTAAAAATAGTATTCCCTTACCCAGGGTTGTCACTAAGATTTCAAGTTGCCGGGTAAATACAACAAGTAGGCGGGGAACCAAACGGCTAGGGATTTCTTTTGGTTCTATTTTTCTTCTATTTTCCAATAAAAGTAGCCGGGGGCCACTCTCTTAGTAGCCGGGGAAAATCCCCAGCCCCCGGCTCTTAATGACAACCCTGCCTTACCTATTCTTCTTATTTGGGGAAGCTAATGAACAATTAGAGAAAAATATAATACGTATACATTCTTTTGGTATGTGCTTCTTTGTTCACCATTGATGGGCTGTTGCCAAACCTGCCCGCCAACATCAGAAGACGTGACACCAGTGACTCAATGAACTTAACCACATTCCGATTGAGTAACTGAGGTCACGTGCAAATTTGTTTCCCGAGTAGCAACCAAGAGACAATAAATCAACAATGGGGGAAAAAGTTGTCACAGATTTTAAGGTCTTTTCATTGGAATAGAAATGAGATGAGTCACAGAGAGTTTATTCAAAACACAACCTTTGCAGCAAAAGTAATTTTAAACAATATTTTTATTTCTTTATTTAAAGACACCTGAGATTATGTGCGTGTTGGGAAAATGTTATGAGATAAATAAATTAAATATTTAATTATCCTTTCCCCTTGTGGAGCTTTTCAGGGTTGAAAGAATGTAATTCAAATGGAACATAACATGATTAAGAATCCCAGTTGGTAGGAGGCAAACCAGTTAGCTATTGTTTTTTTTTTAACTTAGGACTACCAAGAACAAATCCAGCTACAGTCAGGGCAGGACTTAAACCTTGGGGCCTCTGAATTACAATCCCAGCACTCTAATCGCTCAGCAGTGCTGTCTCCTAATATTTTACCTTGCATAAACTCAAATGTAAAATTTTTTCTTGCAGTTTCGTCCTCGTCCATACCCTCATGAGTGGTACAAGATGGATACCTCACCTGTATACAAGAATGGCAATGTGTTGCGAGAATATCAGCTAGAAGGTGTCAATTGGCTCACTTTTTGTTGGTGTAACAGGTGAAAAGTTCTTCCACTATGTTGTTACACAATAATATTTGTTCTGATGGTATGTTTTATTGCAAGGGTGGTCTCATACATGAAGACAGCTGACATTTTGCGATGTCACCACTGATTTCACCCAAAATGCTGTTTGAGGATGGAACGCAGAAATTCCATACTGATGACGTATCACTTCCCCGATCTGGGTAGCACTTCTGATTGGTTGTGCCATATAAGAAGTTTGCTTAAACCAGTCAGAATCGCTACCCACTTCTGGATAGTGACACGTCATCATTATGGAATTTCTGTGCTCATTCTGTAGGGAAACCTGTTGCAGTGTTGCAAAAATTTGGCTATTTTCTCTGGTTACATCCATAGTGATCCAATTTTTATGTACTTCAGTAACTTGCTGCTGTTTGTTAGAGGCATTGTTTAACTTATTTCTACTGTTTAGGCAAAACTCCATCTTAGCTGATGAAATGGGACTTGGAAAAACAATTCAGTCTATTTCTTTTCTTATTGAAATGCAGGTGAGTGTAAATCCCCATCTGGGATCACCTATCAGCTTCATCCATTTAATATTATGACATGTAGAATACAGTCTTGGCATGTTCCAAGCTAGTTGTACAATGGTTCTAAAGTTTTTTTTGTGTGAAAAGATATGAACAATTAATATTAAGACTAATAGGAGAAAAATATTTTCAATTGCAGCGGTACGGTGTGAGGGGGCCATTTCTGGTGATTGCACCGCTCTCCACAATTTCTAACTGGCAAAGAGAATTTGAAACCTGGAGTGATATAAATGCTGTTGTGTATCATGGGAGGTAAGTGTTTTGTTGTTGGTGGTGTTGTTGTTTATTACTAAGAGTGATTCTAAATGAACGTTACAACTTGCTGATATGGGGATTACTTCCCTTGCAGTGCGTCAAGTCGTCACTTGATACAGGAGTATGAATTCTACTTCAGAGATGAAAATGTAAGTTTCAGTCAGTGCTTTTTGCTATAAATTGTAGAATAATAATTATTTTACCATTCCTAGTCATTTCTATTGTGATAGTTACTTTAAATGTATAAATTGCCATATAGGTTTCCTTAAGCAATAGACCACACTTTCTATGGGTTTACTAGCGTGATAACCCATGTGGTGTTTTAGGGGAACACGAGAAAAGCTTGTAAATCACTCTCCTTCGGCTCGTGATTTACAAACTTTTCTCGTGTTCTCCCAACATCCCAAGTGGGTTATCATACCGGTAAACCCATGGGAAGTGTGGTCTATTCCTTTTATAAAATAACTTTAAAGCGTGTTTCAGTTTTTTATGAGTTTACTGGCACAATAAACCATAGGTTTTTAACCAATAAGAACAAACTTTCTATCTTAGTTATTTTATAAAATGAAATACTGCATAGCTTGACCCTCTGAAGGTCCATTCATGTCCTCATCATATTCCCAGTTACCAACTTTTCGACCTTTTTTTGTCATCCCACATTACTGATGGTATAGCATTCCTTTTTTTCCCAGGGCCAACCATTTAATGGATTGTACAAGTTTGAAGCAATGATTACAACGTACGAAATAATTATAGGTATGAAGATGTATATAACATAATGTTTTGCTTTGTGGTGAAAATCCCTTCTTTTTATGTAACTGGCCAGATGGTATCCTTTTTTTAGTGCACAGTCCAAGTCAATAAACCTGTTTTTGTTTGCTTTTTTTGTCTGTAAAGCTGACAACATGCAACTCAGTTCAGTGCCGTGGAGATGTGTGGTTATAGATGAAGCTCATCGGCTAAAGAATCGAAACTGCAAACTTCTTGAAGGCCTCAACAACCTAAGCATGGTATACATGTACACTTAATATATTTCTCCAGGTTCTCTAATTAATTATTAAGTGGCCAGTGAGTGATACACGGGTCATGGTTTTGCTTTCTGTGGGTGGAGTTGATGGTTGGTAGAAGCCTTGATTACAGCAGTTTTGCCAGACTAACAAACTGACTGAACAAGATGGTTAATGGTTGAATGAATAAGAGGGAGTGAAAAAATTAATAAAATAGTGCTGGAAAGCAAAACTGGCTCATCACTCTGCTCTGATACTAACAGCATGTTAAATAATGCTGTTTTCAAGGAACATCGGATATTGCTGACAGGAACGCCACTACAGAACAATGTAGATGAGCTCTTCAGTCTTCTGAACTTCCTTGAACCTGCGCAGTTTCCCTCTCAAGTGGCCTTCCTTATGGAATTTGGTGACCTTAAGACAGAAGCTCAAGTAGAAAAACTCAAACAGGTATGCACAATTTCAGCTTATATTTTAATACATAGTGTCAAGCTAAAAGTAAAGGTCCTGCTGTTTCTTACACTTCTATGGCTTGAAGGGTTTTTTGGCACTAAACAGGTTGTCAACATTAATGTTATGGGGTATTGTTTCCTTACTACCAAGTATGGTATATGCTGAATAGATGGTGGAATATGGGAATTAAATTCTTGGGTTAGAGGAGGTGAAGTTAAACATCCTTGAAATGATGCTGTAACATGTTAGACTACTGAAGCACAGGAAGAAAAATCTTACACTGATCAAGGATGCTGAAAGCAAGTTTTTCTTTTCATAGTTGCTTTTGTGTGTTGTATTGTTGCTTCAAAGCGTCCAATATTTTCTTTTGTCTTCTTCCTTTAGCTTTTAAAACCAATGATGTTGAGACGACTGAAGGAAGATGTTGAGAAGAACATTGCTCCAAAAGAGGAAACCATCATAGAGGTCTGTTCTTCAGTTCTTGTTATGTTCATATGTTTTGTCAGCCTGTGGTTTAAAGGGATGTGAGTGCTATATATAGAGTTAGGCCTTTATGTTCTCTGACAAACACCCCCTTTCTTGTGCCAGCTTTGGCTACTTCCCAGCTCTTCCACCTGGCCTTGTTTCTATCTTTCTCAAAAAGTCCAAGAGAAACAAGGCTGGCTGGAAGAGCTGGCAAGTAGCCAAAGCAGTAGCACAAAACAGAATATTGGTCAGTGAACGTGATGGCCTGACATTAGATTGGCCTTCATTTTATTTGCCAATGTTCCAAAAATGGGGTGTAACATGTGTAGTGTGTCATTTAAATATTGCTACTCACAACATTGCGAAGACCAGTTGCATAAAGAATTATTAAAAATATCAGACAATAGTGCAGATGTTGCATTATGGCAACTTATTCATTTTTATCTTCAGGTGGAGCTTACAACCATCCAAAAAAAGTTGTACAGAGCTATCCTTGAACGTAACTTTGCTTTTCTGAGCAAGGGAGCAACATCCAGTGCAAATGTACCAAACTTAATGAACACCATGATGGAACTTCGAAAGTGCTGTAATCATCCTTTCTTGATCACTGGTGCTGAAGAAAAGGTGCTTGCTGAGCATAACTTGTCAATGCATGAAAAAACTCCCAAGCATGCCACAGTTATGATTGATGCTTCTGGTAAACTCGTGCTTATTCACAAGCTCCTACCAAAACTGAAAGCAAATGGGCACAAAGTCCTGGTTTTCTCTCAGATGGTTCGATGTCTTGACATTTTGGAAGATTACCTTGTTCACATGAGGTATCCATACGAGAGGATAGACGGGCGGGTACGTGGAAACCTACGGCAGGCTGCTATTGATAGATTCAGCAAGCCGGACTCTGACCGCTTTGTGTTCTTGTTATGTACTCGAGCTGGAGGACTGGGGATTAATCTTACAGCTGCAGACACTGTTATCATTTTTGACTCTGACTGGAATCCTCAGAATGATATTCAAGCACAGGCAAGGTGCCATCGTATTGGGCAGAGCAGGTCTGTCAAGGTGTACAGACTTATCACTAGGAACTCTTATGAGCGTGAAATGTTTGATAGAGCAAGCATGAAGTTGGGTCTGGACAAGGCTGTGCTCCAGTCCATGAATACCAAGGAGAACGCAAGCAACAATGTAAGGGCTTTATTCACTCTTAGATTTTATTACTTAATACATTGGTAACAATGAGAACCACTCAAATAACAGAGTTTTTAATAAATCCACAAGGATCCTTGCAGGTTTGTCAAAGCAGCTAGCTGGTGATAAAATAATAGATGTCCACCTTTGAACAAGCTCCAACCCTTGCCTTTCTATAAAGTTGATTGAGCCAGCTGGCACAGGGAGATGATTTGTCAGAATAAGTTGCATTACAGTAGAATTTCAGAATATCTCGGATACTTACACTGATTAGGTGTTAGAGTTAAGTTACAATGTAGAGGTGGAGACCAAAATGGGTATTCATGTTGTCATTGGTGTTTTCTATGGGAAAGGCCACTTTAAAGATAGTGTACATGTTGATTGACAAACCATGACAAACAGTTTAGCTTCCATTCACCAGTACAGTACAAATAGGGCATGGTTCGTTCCCTAACAACCTTTGTTTTCCAGAGTTTTGATCTTTCAAGTTTCTATTATTTTTATACAGCAATCATTGTCCAAGAGAGAGATTGAAGATTTGTTGAGAAAGGGTGCTTATGGTGCCATCATGGAGGAAGAAAATGATGATAGCTCCAAGTAAGTGACTTAATTGAGAACATGAGACTCGGCTTTTCTTGACGGTAACTTAAACATATGGACAACAATTTTCTATGGTCTACATGTATGCTCTTATCAACCCTAGCAATGACCTCAAATTATTCAAAACTCAAGTGGAACCACTTGCCTGCATTTTTTCAAAAAGTAACATTATTTTTTATTTTGACATTTTCTGATATCCATTTCTAATGAAGTTTGGGAAAAATTGTGCACACTAGAAAGAGAAAAACAAATTGTACCACCATCAGATCATTTCCTTGGTCTTTACTCCTATACAACATAGCTCTCGACCAATCAGTGAGAGAAATCCCACAGTTACTGTAAATTTAGTGCTAACCCATGGATCATTTTACTGCATATAGGTTTTGTGAAGAAGACATTGATCAGATTCTAGAGCGCCGTACTCAAGTCATTCAGATTGAGTCCCAAGGAAAGGGATCTACTTTTGCTAAGGTAAAATATGATCATGTTGAATTAATTTCTTTCTATACTAATTTTTAAGAAAAGAAGATAAAATAGAGAAATAATCAAGTAAATAAATAATAAGGGGTCCTGAGTATTAATATTCTCATTATATATGTCCATGGCAAACTGTAGCCTTTATCTCTGTCTAAATGAGCGAGCAGCTGGCAGAAGGTAATTTCGCCACTTTCGATGGAAAACTTGCCGCCTACATGTACTTGATACTTAAGCAAAATTATGCTAAGTGAGATTCATACAATCAGAAGCCTTTGGTGCTGGCTACAGCAGTTACCCTGTATATACTACTGCAAGACACTTGGACTAGACTGGGCTTTGAATTTGTAAGCTTTGTGGACAGATAATATTCCAGTTGTGAAGCCTCCAGCTGTAAGATGTTGTATGACTTGTTTAACTTTTTTTTTTTTCTTTTGTAGGCAAGCTTTGTGTCATCTAAGGGAGAGGAAGAAATTGATATTGATGATCCTGATTTCTGGCAGAAGTGGGCCAAAAAAGCTGACCTCGATGTCGACCTTATAAACAAGGTTTGCAGTTTATATTTTCTATACTAGCCAACACAACCTTAACTGTGTCTTACACTCATGCTTCATCTGAATTCTAGAATTTAGAGTGAGATGATGTAATTTTTCTTTATTGTAAACAGGACAATCGCATTATTGATGCCCCGCGACAAAGGAAACAAACAAAGCGGTATGGCAATGAGGATGGTGATTTTGAACTATCAGACTTAGATCTTGATGAAGATGATGAAGCACCTTTGCCACGGAGGTCATCTTGGACCCGAGTAGAGTGCTTCAGGGTGGAAAAGAATTTGCTTATTTATGGGTAAGTTGAAATATGGCGCATTTGAAAACTGTATAGTTGAATTTCTGCGGTATAAATAAATGTTATTATAATGTTATTATTAATATTTTTTCTTGTTAGCCTTTTACTGGCAACAGTTGTATAGCAGATGCTGCAACAAAAAGAAAGGCTTTAGTGTTATCATTTCAACAACTTTATCATTGTTATTAAAGGGCAATTAAACAGGAATTAGGAACCTAGACTGGATCATGTCAGTTGTTGTGATACTCTGGCAGTTGTTAGTTGCACTGTTATTGTTTCAAAGAAACATGTTACATTAGTTGACACAACTTTTACCTTAATTCTGTTACTGCTTTGCACTTGTGTCACATTTGTCTAGAAATAAGAAGTTATGCTGAGATTTTCTCTTTGTTTCCTTTGCAGCTGGGGACAGTGGAAGGATGTCATTGCCTCAGGGCGATTCAAAACCAAGGTCTCTGAAAGGGATGTTGAAGCCATTTCTCGCACAATACTTGTGTACTGCCTGCACCATTACAGAGGAGATGAAAAAGTGAAAGGTTTTATTAGAGATCTGATTAAAGCCTCAGCCACACGAGAACGACTGCCAAGTGAAGAGCGAGATGCCACTTACATGCCACTTCCATCCTCAGGGAAGGGCAGGGGAAGAAACAAGAAGGGCAAGACTTCTAATAAAAACAAAAGTGCCATTGCTCTACTGGAAGTTGGTAGCGAGTGGCGGACATGTGATCCAGAAACTCTTATACTAGATGAGGGTTACAAGAAGCACTTGCAACACCACTGTAATAAGTATGTTGCTGCCATGGTTAATCACATTTTGTAATAGGCCTTATAATAAGTTTTCGTCAGACAAGCAAGTTTCACCACCAAGCTTTGTTTTGAGATCGTAACTTTTCTAAGTTTTGCATAATTTAATTTGTAAGGCGGTAGAGCTGAAAATAATACCAGTGCAGAAAGATTGCAGATGTAAAGAGTTTTGATCTTAAACAAGGTTTGGTGGTGGAATTTGCTTGTCTGATGTGAACAGGCATAAGATTCATTTGCTAGTATGATGTAATGTGTGAATGTGATTGGTCTTAAACCTAACCCAATCATCTATGATTTACTATGTCCCTGTTATTACCTGCAGACATCTAAGATTTGTTTTGTTTTCTTTGCAAGGATTCTGCTGCGCGTGAAACTCCTGTTTTTCTTGAGACATGAGGTGATTGGCACTCTTGGACACAAGATCAGAGAAGGATGCAATGCAAGGTTTGTTAAACCGGTGTGCGACAAAGGCAGACTGCAGACTTGCAGACTGGCAGGTAAATGAACAGATAAACATCGTTGTGATATGCTCTAACAGATTCTTTATCTCTGAAACAAGCCTTTTCGAAGACTTAAATTTTAGGGGTATGGAATCTATTAGGGCATTTCACAACAATGTTTACCCCATTCACCCGCCAGTCTGCAGTCTGTGTTTATCGCACACCATTGATAAACTGCTGAAGCCCTAATAGGTGGTTTTGGTTCTTTCTTTACTCTTTCAAGCCTAATACCATATTGTCATTTCTTCTTAGTGATTTGGACATTGTCATTCATCCACCTGAAGGTGATCCACCAGCAACTTGGTGGGATGATGAGTGTGATAAGTCACTCTTAGTTGGAGTCTACAAGTATGGTGAGTATTAGACATTTTAAATGGAGTCAAGTGGTAGAGCTCCTGCTTTCGTGTGAAATAAAACTGGCGTTATAAAGTTTCTGGCTAACACTATCTAATGTGCAACAAGCCACAAGCAGAAAGTAAGGTGGCCTTCAACAGTGATGACCAAAACTTTTTCTCAACTCTAACCTTCTTTTGTGTTTCATAGGGTATGAACATTACAAGACAATGCGAGCCGATCCCTGCTTGTGTTTCGTGTCTAAAGTTGGTCTTCCAACTGACATGAATGACTCCACTGCAGGTGAACCTACTGACCCAGATGACAGGCAAGTACATGAAGTGTTTCTAAAGACATTTCTAAGATTATTTTTACGCATGTAGGTTATCACTTAGGGTTGTGAGGAAAAAAATGCCCATTTAAACCAAACCAAGGGCTGTAGTACTGCTTTGAAGACTTATAGCCTGTGTCACGCCCAGGTTGATCTCCTTTGTGGATTTGATTCTAATTTTCTGATGAGCATTCCCATCCCTGTTGTATTGGAGTTCTTTTTTCCCGAGGCCCTAACCCCTGAACCTACATGTATAGAGCTTGCTTGCAGACTACAAGACACTGGCAGGGCGTGGGTTTGCTAATTTGAAGTCTTTCAGTTGCGGTTGTGATTTTTCTTTTGTTAATAATGTAGAAACATTCCGTTGTTTTGTCAAATTTCCCTATTTGCCTAGTGGTGTTGCAAGTGTCATGTAGCTGAATAATCAGGAATATTTTTGTCGATGTTTAGAGATGACGATGATGCCAATGACGACCCTGACTATCAACAGCCTGCCAGTGTGTCTCAGAAAGATGATGATATGGAGGATGAGGATGATAAGGTGACTGTTCACACAGGCATTATGTATTCCTTTTTCACAGTCAGTGATTAGAACTTTGGCTCATTCTGAAACATGATGATTTATCCTTACCTACTATGAGACTGTGGTTATTCCTTTGATACTAATGGTGGGCGGCACTGAGGAGACCGCAATCCTAATCTTGAGATAGCTATTACACATGTGCAACTTGTATTATAGCCAGCACTAGTGAGGATGGAACTTTAGAATGTTACATGATCACATGCATTTGCACCTTCTGTCACCCTGGTTATTACGAGAATATTCTATATTTTTTAGAAATCGTTTTGTTTGTGTACTTTTTCCAAGGTTTTTATTTACAGATCCCTGTTAACCCAGAGCACATTCGAGGTAAATAGGGAATTGCAAATTTAATAAGTCAGCATCTTCATTTCAGGACACTGTTTCTGCTGTTTCATCACCCAGCACACCTCGGAAGGCAGAGAAGTTGTATGAAGGTAAGGTTTCTTCTTGAAGACCTGCTGTATTTGGCCGCATCTACCATTCTCTTGTTCTGTTAGTATTGCTTTACTTCTTTAGTAATAAAATGCCTTTGTTGCCATTTTTTTCTAATTTAGCTACTGGAGGTGAGCCTAGAGGTAATCCAAGCCTAAGGTGGCCAACGCCATCTGATTTAAACACCAGACTCCGAAGAATCATTGCTGGGTACCAAAGAGTGGTGAAGAAAGCTGAGCTGAAGAAGGCTGCTGCAGAAAAGGTGAACTCCCCCACCTTCAGCAAAACTGCAATCCCATCCAATTTTTTTGTAACCAGTGGAGCTGTTTTCTTGTTGTTTTCTACTCTTATTGTGTTAGATAAAATTAAATCTTGACAATCAAGTCCTTAGTGAAACACTTAGAATGTGATTGAGTTGAAGTTGCTGTTCATGAAAGCTCTGTTACAGGTCATCTGTGATAGACAATGGAATGATTTTGCCCTAAATGTGATAATACTATTGTCTTGCAGCTGTAATGCTGGGATTCATTATTTTATTCTTTATGACTTAAGCATATATAGCTAAGGTAAATGTTGTGGTGATTGATTCTTGTCTCCTATACAGGAACGTGAAAGAAAGGAGAGATTTGAAGAGGCTGTCCGCCAGAAAGAACTGAAAAAGGCAGAAATGGCTCAAAAGTTAGTGTCATTCTTTACTTTGTGAACTGCAATTTACTGTCATGTAAAATCAATACTATTATTGTAAAGAGGCTTAACCTATTCTTCTTCTCTCCCAGGTGGTCAAAACGAGAGGAGGTGGACTTCTATCGCACAGTGACCACTTTTGGTGTTGAGTTTAACAAAAAAGAAGGTACATATGACTGGTCAAGATTCAGGTGAGTAGAGTGTTGATCAATTTAATTGTGGTCATAAATGTTTACATCTGTTCCTTTACCATTGTCAATGATTAAAATCTTGCTGTTCACATCCTGAATTTTGTTGTTGACACAACCTTACCTACAATGAGACAGTGGTTATTGTAACATTTTATGGTCATAGTTACCTAATAGACCATTTTACCGTCTTGGGCTTAGTATCCTATCCTTTGAACGTGAGGCTGAAGTTGACCTATTTTTGTGACAAACTTCCTTCCTTTTCTTATGGAAGTTATGCCTTAAAAATACTATTTAGCAAAAGAACAAATTGATTTGCATAAGAAAGCAGGAAGGGTTGTATCAAAACAAGGTCAACTCCAGCCTCGTTTCCACCTGTAACTGTAAAGTGGGCTATTGTGGTCAAATAAACCATGACTGAAGCGAATCCTGGAATGACACTGCAATCTTGCTTCCATTGATTTTTCAGACGACAAGCCCGGTTAGACAAGAAGAATGATGAAAGGCTGACTGCTTACTACATTGATTTCATGGCCATGTGTAGAAGAGTATGTGGCCAAGCTACTGAAGAGGATGCAGGCAAAGGTGAGTGAAAAAAAAAAAAAAAAAAGATTGAAACATGCTCAAAAATAATGTTGTAAATACTGTAGATCAGAAAGGTAAGCCCTTGTTGTTTAATTTTATCTTGATTGAACAGATTTACAGAGAAAAAAAGGAATCATTATTACAGGGTGGCATGTACTAGGCTAATGTACACTTAGTCTGCTAACTTTTAAACAAATGCCATTTGTAACTGAATGGATGTAAAGTAATGGTTAAGAGTGACTAGTATGTGTATTGCAGCCTTTGATTAGTTGCTGTTCACATCCTGACAAGTTTGATGAAAGCTTACCAATTACAAAATGAGGCTGTGTTTGAAAAATGTTTGGAACATTTATTCAGTGGCTCTTCAATTTTTTATTGCACAATGTGTAATGCTGTAAATGACTGTATATTTTTGGGCAGGTCTGAGTGTTGAACCTATTTCAGAAGAACGGGCCAGTAGAAGTCTTTACAGAATACAGTTACTCTCAAAGATTCGAGAAGAGGTACTGTTTAACTATTGTTGCCCTGTTGCTGCTACAATTTAGTCAACTTTGCTTTTTTGTAATTGTTCGGTTGATAAATGTATTAGTTTCAATAGAGGCTGTAGTGCTGCATAAGTAGTGAGTGAAACACTGAATTAGTGGGTGATAGGGTTAATATTGAACACTACAAAGAGATTCAAGAGCTGATGTTAGGAGTGCTAGCCCATCATCAAGGATGTGTGAGTTGTGTGACTAATTTTTCATTGCCACTATCTTTGTTTAAAGGTTTTACCTCATGAGAAGCTAGATGAGCGACTGCAGCTAGCGCAGCCATCTTCCAGCTTTCCTGACTGGTGGATATGTGGCAAACATGACAAAGATTTACTTATTGGTGTTGCCAAGTAAGCAAAAATTGCGCTAATGATAGTTAAAAATTCTGTTATTTTGTTGCAACAAAGTATTGCAGCTACGCGTAAGATTTCTTTTTTTTTTCTCTGATTTTGTTGAGTTTTTTGTTTGAGTATTTTAAGTGATTGTAATTTAAATGTCCCACGAGTACAACAGTAATATTTTTATTGTTTTCTGTCTTTCCTGCAGTCATGGCATCAGCAGAACAGATTTTAATCTTCTCAGTGATCCTGAGCTGTCCTTTATGGAAGTTATTTCAAAGATACCAGCAAATCCCATCAATAAAGGTATAAAAATTATAATTACCTAGGATATTGTGTAACATATCTCATGATTACAATGTAGTGAAAGCTTATGTAAGTTCCCCTTTCCATGCCATCTAAATTCAAAATATTTTTATTCCAGTAAATGCCATTGATAAGTTGCATAACTAAGAGGTCTGAAATTCCACAATACAAGGTGCAAAGAAAGCCATTTGACAAGCTGTATCCTATATAAGCCCAAGAATCATTTTAACCAGCCCCCAATTTATATATATATATATATATATATATATAATTTGCACGGGCTCTCTTGCCAAGAGAAGGTGTCATTCCCCGTAACGGAACCTTCCAAGTGCGGTTTCACACTGGAAATTAAGGATGGTACTTATGGTTGAGTACCGATCCAGCCGTCTCAACCAAAACAAGCCATTTTCCGGACCAGTTTCGACTTTACTGTCTTCAGGATTTTTTAGGATTTTTTTATGGTTCTTCTGTAATTTAAATACCCAAAAACCTCACTTGCTCATCGGGCGAGTAAAGAACAGTGATTTCTTGATAGTTTCTGAGCTAAAGAGTGTTTGTTAATCTATTTTTTAACAGTTCTTGGAGATGAGAAGTCATCTTCTCCTACAGGAAGTGTTAAGACAGAATCGTCAGTTTCATTTGATAGCCTTTACCCTATGAACAACGACTATGAAAGGAAACAAGGCGAAGATGCCACTAAGGCACCCAATGAAGAAAGGGCAGCAGACATGGGTGCTTCAACTTCATTATCACCCGATGAACAGGTATCCATGCATCAGGAATCTACAGCAATGCAACACGTGCCAAAAGCCGAGACACAAACAGTATTGCCAAATGCAGTGGAATCAAGTTCCCCTACAGATGCTTCAGATCAGACTGTCAGGGATGATCCTATTATGGCAGCAAATCCTAAGGTTGAGGAAATGGATGAAACTATTAGGAACACTCCTGTGGCTTCTCAGTTCAATCCAGCAGCCTCTCAAGATGAGGACTCTCAACTGAGCTTCAACCAAGAGAGTCAGTCTGGTGAAATGTCTGTATTTTCTGTGAGATGGCCTAAGGTACAAACAGAATGCTACTACAATAATGTATGTTAGATGTGTCTTATTCTAATGCGACTCAAAACTCTGTGGACATTTTGTACTATTTGTTTGTTGCGTAAGATTTTTCAACTTTTTATGTCCGAGTCTCTTTGTGATGAAGAATACAATTTATTATATTAACAGGGCTCAAAATATTTTTTTTGATTGTTACCAGTCATACTAACTGGCCAAAGAAATTTCAGCTCGGTCGTCTCTTTTTGACTGGTCATGACCAAAATATTAAAAATAAAACAACGATGTAAACCAGGATCTTTGAACATTGGAAATAGCTTAAAGATGTGTCCTGTAGAAAAGGCGTACTTGGACCTTGAAACTTTTTTAAAACAAATACATTCAAATCCATTGACAGTACAATTATGTGTCCTGTCAAAATGACTGGCAAACCGAGAGTTTGACCATTGGTCCGGGTAAAAGATTGTCAGTTGACCCTTATTTTGATCCCTGGTTAATTTTAAAAAATACATCTTATGTCTGTACATTAAGATTTGTTTGTTAAAAATGTTCTCTGGTAGAAAATTTTACCCCCAAAGAATTTTGCTTAAACCTAAATCCTGCCTAGGAATCTTTCTTTGATTTATAGTCCCCACAAATATCACTTTTTGACAGGATAAAGTGGTTATTCAGCGCTTAGACCAACTCTGTGAGTGTGTCCTGAAAGGTGAATGGCCAGTAGTGAGTAAAGCAGCAGAGGCCCTACTTCAGAGTCAACTGGCTGCTAATTCCCCCATGTCGACAGGTCTTGGGGATGTGGACATGGCTTCACTGGCCCCTGGCTTTGCTGTTGGTGATGATGGGTTACCTGAGGACCCGTCCAAAGCTTTTAAATTAAAAAGGGTAAGTTCCAACTCAAGAGGTCCTTAGCTGTACATCATGTTTCTGTGTAATATTTAACAGGACCCGAACAAAGTCGTGTCTTGTAGTCCAGAACAAGTAGATTTTCTTGGTGGGCAAGTGACTTTTGAAGCTCGCTCCAGGCAAGTCATCCTCCAACAAAATCATTTACTAAGATGAACAAGAAGTGGCCCTGGGCAGGCAAAAGGGGACAGTTGCTTGCCAGAATTCAAGTTTTTTTATTATTATTATTATTATTTTTAACCCTGATTAAGCCTGAGATTTAAACAACATCCTACTCTACTCAAGGGTGAAGTATCTGCAGTGTCTGATTTGGCCATTACAGTGTAATATTAAACCACACCACATAGCCAAGCTGGAGTGCAGTTTCTTTTTACATGTTGTCTCTCTTCAGTGCTATCAAACAGATATAGCCAGGCTTTGTGAAAAGTTAATTATGTTATGACCTTTCCCCTTGCCTGTTTCAGCTTGATGGTTTAAAACTTACTTTCAAGAAAAACAGAAGAAAAAGAAAAAAGGAAGCAGGTTTGTGTTGAGTTGTGATTTTGCAAGATTTGTGTCAAAAGAAGAAATATAGCTATAGGGGGAGGGGTTTCCTTGTGTGTGTGTTGGGGGGGCGGTCTGTGACCAGGCGATGATGCAAAATTTAAAAAAGATGTAGTAGAGAATCAGTACCTGGATGTGTGCAAATATTTCAGTGGTTGCATTAAGAAAAAAAAAAATTGAATAATACAACTTGGTCAAACATTGGGTCGAAAAAATAACAAACTTTGTACCTTATCAGTTTGACATAGGCAACTCTATGAAGACATGTGAATATAGATTTACCCTACTTTTTTCATCTTATATTTTATGCACAATAACAAAGCATGTTTTGTGTGAACTTACAGAAATGGCTGAAGGCCTCTCATTAGATGAAGAGCGTGCACATAATGAACCAGGTAAAGTCTTGGGTCCTATTTTGATTTCATGAACCAACAGTAGTTTGCTGACATCAAGGAATACCATTTTAAAGGACAGTATGGTCTGTTAAGCCAAAGTAACTTTTTCTCATACAAATTTCAAAGTAAACTGAACAAAACAAACAGAAAATTAACAATTGTCCTACTACAACAGCCTTCCCAAAAATTACAGCTTGTTACAGGTCACATAAATTTGATTAAGTAGTGTCTATATTAGTGAGTTTTTAGCTCTGTTTCAGTAATGAATATCCTAACAATGAAAAGAAGAGTATTAGCAGATTGAGAGAAAGGATTTGTTGTTGTTCAGTAAACTCACATCTCGTGCTTTTGTTTTCAACATAATAACGAATCCTGCGTGTTTTAACCGAGTGTTGCACAATTTCAACTACAGTTACACCCTTTGCCAATGTTGGCTTAGGGGAGGGGTAGGTGGGCAGTTTCCCAGAAACCTATATTGATCCTTACATTGTACCTTCATTACAGCAGTTGACATTTTTTTAAGCAATAATTTTTTCATATCCTTGAGTGCTGCCTCTTGTAGGTCACGGAAAACTGCCTGCCCATTTTCACCACGATGGAGAATGGAAAGAAGGCTTGATCAACATGGAAGCAACCGGTCATGAATTCAGATGGGATCCTTCTACTGCAATAAAACCTCCTAAAAAGAAGCGAGCTTCAAAAAAAGAGAAAGGGGAAAAGCCTGAAAAGGTGCCATCTGGAAAGAAGCGAGGAAGAAAGCCAAAAACCGATAAGCTCGGATCTGCGGGCAGATTGGCTGACACTGGTGGTGCAGGGATGGTACCTGAGGGGGCGTCTCTTGAATGGACCGGTTTTACTCATCCTAATAGAGTTGATGGGGGAGTGAAGCAGGTGTCTGTGGTAGAAGAAGGCAATTCTGGCCTTACAAGAGCTTCTTCTTCAAAGTCACCCCATGAAACTGGAGTGAATACTGCTTTGCCAGCATTTGGAGAAGAGGTGAGGGTAGAAGAAAATTTCAGTTTTCTTTGGTTTCAGGTTGTTGTTTTGTGGGAGGGGAAGTTTTTCAAGAATTCTCCCAAGTGGTTGTGTAAACAGTGCTCAAAGTGTGAACGTGCTGTTTATTTGCTAATGCATAAAATGACCTTTGACCCACGGGAGAAAGATGGGAATCACTTTAAAGTGTGAGCAAACCCTAATGATCTGAGTGATTTTTATTGAATAGCACTACTCTCGTACAGTAGCTGCCGCGAGAATGTATTCAGGCCAGAAGTATGAGCTATCTTCTGAAAGTTGGATCATTTAGCCAACAGTGAGCGGTGTTCTCCCTAGGATTGTGGGAAGGCAAGGGGGTATTCTGCCCTAGGTTTTTAACGGTGTTTGTACGAAGCATGCTTTAGCCAGAATAAAAACTCATGAAGATTAGGAACATAATTTTAGTAGTTCATTTGGTTAGCAAGTAACTGTTTTTGTCCAGTGTTTTTTTTTTTCTCAGCCCCACAAATAGTAGCTGTTTTCTCAAAATTAGAGTCTTCTTCCAATGTTCTGTTTTTGGAATTAATCGATTTCAGAAGATTTGGTGTCGTTTTAGGTGAATGAACTTCTTCCACCAGATTTCCATCACTGTTCTGTCTCCTTTCCACAGTAAAAAAAGAACTCAATTTGCATTGACAAGAGTTTTGTTTTTTTTCTGCTCATTTCGGGCTGATTAGGTTCTCCCTTTTGACACTGCTTAAAATGTAAGTTTCGTACTCCATGTGAGCACCTTGAAGAGCCCTTGTGTTTCTGGGACAATTTCAAGATTGCTGCCATTCAGTGAAACGAATGCATCACAGGTTTTAACATATTCAAAGGGAAATCACTTTACTAATTAGTTAATTGGGAGAAAACACACAAGTAAAAACACTAGACAATGTTTCACCAACTTAAACTTTAAAGTGATTTTGTCTCTGAAGCACATAGTTCTAGGACTTGTAGATGTCTTCTTAAGCTTTGAATCTGGCAACGATTTTCCGGCGAATTGTGTCAGGCAGCCTGCCTGGCCTTAAATACCTAGGGAGAACACTGAGTGAGAGTGACATTACGCCTGGTTCTCAAATGCGGCTTAGCTACCTGCAGCATAGCTGCCAATACTGCGTGCGGAACCATTCCGATAATGATAACTAAAGTCGCCAGCAACAGAGGCCATGTCAGTCTTTCCCACTGGCATGCCCGCAAAGTTAACTCAAGGTTGACTTCGCATACATGCCAAGGTAAAGACCTGTGATGTTTCTTGTTGCGGGTGGCGTTATGTCCTCATATGTTGGACTAGTATTGCAGGCAATACTGGCAGCTATGTTGCAGGTACTTCGGCGGCACATGAGAACCAGGCTCAAGTATGGATCAGCAACTGATAATGATGTCTGGTTGTCGTGGTTTATTGTCTTACGGAATTCAAAGGCCTCATTATGTTTTTCTTTCAGTTTAAGAACTCGAGTGTGGAAGGAAATTCACTAAGCACAAGTGGTTTAGACGAACCAGTTGCTGTTGTTGATAGAGAAAGTGGAAGGAAGGTGCGTATTTGAAATAAAAATTATCTTTCCTATGTCCTTCCAGCTCTTTAATGATCTTTAAATGTCTTGGCAAAAATGTTTGACTGCACTAGGGTCTCTAAGCCTGTGTGGTAGGTGTTAAAAAGTTCAGGGGAAATGGCAAACAAGCCCTTTGCATTTTAGCAGGCATAGGTTTTCCCTCCCAACTCCGTTTTAAACCCACTCTCCAAAAGTGAAACTTTTTAAATGTAGTCACATCATTAAATCAGTTGGCCAGTGATAGAAATGACTTGAGTACTAACATATGGTTGTTTGTTCTCTTCAGTTGGTGGGAAGTCTAGCACCCACGTTATCTAACCTTGAAGAATGGCTGCAACAGAATAGCAGTTTTGATGTTGCTGAAGAGTCTGCTGCATTAGTTCATAGCAAGGTATGTGTCATAAAACACATCTTCAGAACGATACGGTAATCTTTGATCCATAACTGTTTTTTGTAATGAACCAGTGATTTTAAAAGGAGGACGTAGATGGTCTTAAAGGGCACACCTGTACACCTTTCAAAATGTGAGAACAGGAAAGGAAAATTGGCATCTTAACTCCTTCACTCCAAATAGTGGCCAAAAAAAGTCCCCCAAAAAATCGAATTTCCTTTTGTAAGATCCCTTGAAATAAATAGCACCATGCAAAAGTACTGCCAAAGAGGTTTCATTTGAATGGTAACATCGTAGGATTTCATCCACAGACTCAAAAGCTAGAGCTACATACTAAACAAATAGTACCATATGAAAGTACAGCTGAAGAGGTTTCATTTGAATGGTAACACCATAGGATTTCATCCACAGACTCAAAAGTTAGAACTACATACTAAATAAATAGTACCATGTGAAAGTATTGCTGAAGAGGTTTCATTTGAATGGTAACACCATAGGATTTCATCCTCAAACGTTAGAACTTCAAACTAAATAATTAGCACCATGTTAAAGTTCTACCAAAGAGGCTTTATTTGATTGGTAACAGCTTCGGATTTTGCTCACAGACTCAAATTTTGGAGTGACAAATAACCTCGTCATAATTTGGTCTAGAATAGAACAATTTTGAAAATTCATACTTAGCTACGAGGCTTGGGGGAGTAAAACAAGAGAAATGTATCATTCATTGCTGAGCCTGAAGATGATTTCTTTTGTTTTATTCCCTTAAGCCTCACAACTAAGTTTTTAATATATCGAAATGGGTCTTTTGAAAGGGTTAACATTGAAGGGTGAGGGTAAACATCTTTCATGATGGCTTGTGGGACTGCTGGGCAGTGCTCAGGGTCCTTAATCCCTGTCTGTGTTCAGCTGTCTGTGTGTATTACATGTGACACTGGATGCATGCACACACCCATGTGTAGTCCAATATTAAATTGAACGTCATAGTCCAGCCAAGATCTTTCAAGGACTGGCTGGTTCCCCTGTTTCACACAGTATAATAATAACAATCAAATTTGTGTTTGTGACCATGTATGATAGTGGAAGCCTGTCCTAATCATGGCTCGAAAAAAATCCCGTCCAGTAGTCCGAGACAAGTGAATTTTCTTGCTGGGCAAGTAACTTTTAAAGCTTATTTGCCCAATGGGCCATGCTCTAGGCAAGTCATCCTCCAACTAAATCATCAACTAAGATGAGCAAGAAGTGGCCCCGAGAAAGCAAAAGGTGAGAGCTGCTTGCCCAAAGGACTAGCCCAAATTCAAGTTTATATTAGCCCTGCTAATCTGACAGAATGAATGTGATTTATAGCCACCTTTGGTCATTTCTTTGCCCTAATGTGGTAGCCCAAAAACTGTTTATTTATTTCAGGGTATTCTACCAGAATCTCTTCAGAGCAGATTGATCCATGGTGGAAGAAAGTCCAATCCTACTACGCCCACGGCTGCCGGGCCACAAGCAGCGCATCAGTTATATGGGAGCTATAATGAGATGAACTTCGGCACTTCTGTTTCTAAACCTCAGTTTGACTCATCGTCCACGTCTTTGACATCAACAGCACCGTCTAATTCGCACAGTGAACCTACTCGCTCCAATTTCCCATTCGACTCACAGTTTGGGAACTTTCAGCATGCCATGCCATTTGGACCATTCAGTCATGTGCCGTACTACTCGCATTATGGGATGGGTGGGACAGCAAATCCTCAGGGAGGTGCTACTTTTGGCGAGAGTGCAATGTCAAAACAGGGACAATCACCATCTAGTCCCAGTCCTTCATCTTCACATCTCGTATTCAATAACACTTATTCATCAATGTATTCAGGACAACAGTCCAGTAGTGTTGCCCAGGGATACCCTCCTGGCATTGGATCAACTGCTTTTTCTTATCCTCTTATGAACAATGGGAATCTTGCACCATCGCCCTTGTCGTCTGCTAAAGGAGACTTAATGCAAGACAGCCCAAGTCATGGTTCTCCAAGTATCGGTAGTGACATTTCATCTCATGGAAGCCCAGGCAATGATTGTTGATGGTAGCAAAAGCTTTATTCTAGGGTATTTAATGTATTACAAAGCTTAGCTGATGGTTAGATGTCAGATATATCTAACCGTTATTGACATGGGCTGTTTTTTAGGTGGCTTTGAAGAATGTAGTACCAGTTTTTCAAAGAGATGTGTCCGATATATCTTCTGTTGTAGCGTCGAGAGTCATTATTAACATTTGCAAATTCAGCTTTGAATTTTTGTTGCTGCGCTAAGCTGTTTATATTGATGCTGCTGTCTGCTTCATGTTACAGTCATGGAGACTTTTATATGGGTTCTCAAATGAACCTGGAAAACCAGTCTAACATATTTGAAGCCCAAACGTTCTAGATCTTCTCCCGTTTTCCTTTTCCGTTGATTAGAAAAGCAAATCCTTGTTGATATAGTTGGAGAAGACGAAATTCGGCTTAATACATGCGCCATTTGAATAAACGTATTTGTCCTGTATTCTCGCTCAAACTGGCTTTGCATGCAGGCTTCAATACTCTTCTTCTCTCTCCAACCATATTGCCTCTCGTAGCCTGTGTTGCACCCAGGAGAATCTGATCACGTCTGTTTTCTGATTCTTGGTTTTCAGAGAGCTTTTCTTATTCATAAACCTATTCTTATAATATACATATGCATGATTTATACATATATGAAAAGTATTCAAACATGTTAACGCCAGTGGGCATTGTACATTGAATTGACTTATACAACATTGGATTCTAATTTTTATAATGCCAATTCTTTCTTCTTATAAAACTGGATATCACCTGAATGGTCAGGTGTCACCATCGGTGAAAGGAAAAATGTGGAAAGCCAATGGTGCCAAAATTAATATATTGCAGCAGTCCTGCTATTTATTTTATGATTAAGGTGACTTTTGTACTTTTTATCGTTCAGTCTGGCAAAGCTCCGTAAAAAATGGTCTATACAGTCAAACTAGAATGAGGACAGACACTTATTTATTAGCACCGTTGATTTTTCTCCCTTAAGTATAAATTTTACGATGGTGTCAATCGTAAAATGTTCATCTTATAACTACAGTTCAAGGCTTTTTTCCGTTGGAGAAAATTCACAGTCGCTCTTCCTCAACTTTTATAATTCATAAGACCAAGAAAATTCTCTTTTCTACAATACGTTTTATTGCTTCTAATGTGTTCAACTTGTTCCGCAATGGTGTGAATGTCTAGTTTATACTTAAAATTTGGAATGAGAAGTTGTTAATGTTTCTAGATGATTTTCGGAGGTAGTAGACCCGAGAGGGTCGCACATGCCTAGTCTTTACGCTACAAACTTGTGTACTTGTGTGTTCGCGTTTCTCTGAACTCCAGTCTTGACTGGAGTGAGGACCCAAATAGCAGCTATGAAACGACAAACGTGACTGGCTTTAATACAACCCTTTCTGTTTGGCTCATTAACCTTTTAAGCCCAAGTATCCATGTACGAATTCTCCTAACTGATCTCCAATCATTTCCTTAAAGAATTAGGTGGGAGAATTTGATAAAAGATCAAAGCATTTTTGCTCAGGTGATTAGTTAACTAATGCTCACGACATTTCCTCTTGCTGTTAGGAGAAAATTAAGGCTGGTCACTCTTGTTACTTAAAGGGTTAATAGGCTGATTTAGCAACAGAACGAGAACGTTGACGACGGCACGCGCAAATTAAACAACTGGCTTGACCAATGGCAGAGCGACAAATTGGGCACCGGAAGTCGTGGTTAGTCCTTTCCAAGCGCTTTCCCGTCGTCAACTGACGTTCCCGTCCTGTCGCTAAATCGTCTGTGCTTGCCGTGTTTAGCAGTGCGAGATTGGATCTGTGGTTTGATCACTAAGTCAGTCAACTTAACTGTCCTCCAATGTTACGAAGTGAAGAGTATCATGAAATAAATTATAGTGTGCTTTAAAAATGTACCTTGTACATAATTATTCAAAAGAAAGAAATGGGTTTTGGTTAATATAGGAAAGGACAGGATGTTTATTAAGGAGTTTAAGAGCTGCTTGTTCGCTGATCCCTAAATAAACTTCATGAGTGGTTGAAATTTCTGTCAGTTGTACAGTAGTAACAGCTTGCTAATCAGTAAAGTGGGACCGAGACGAAACTAATTTTTCCAAATTTGTTAATTCTAATTTAGTCAGTCTGTCTGGTTATGCAAAAATTGTAATTATTCTTGAGATTAAATTGAAGGTATCGGCCTTTTGTTACCAAACACACTGGAGGACACTCTAACTTCTGAGTAGTTACAGGAACTAATGCTATGAAGTATTCCTTATTATGGCCTCGATTAATTTTGATAGAAACGTGCCTGTATTTAAGGACTGTATTTATTAATTTGAATGAAATTTTTACAAATATTTTTAATAAATTTCTGCTGCTCCGGTGTCTCTTACCTGAAAATGCCTGTTCTCTTTTCACTGTTTTGTTGTTGTTTTCCTTTTATACATTTGGCTGTTAGCGTACGTCTCCTATGTCCTTTACTTACCTCCGTGAAGTGAAAGGAATTCACCAAAATTTTGTATAATCATTGTGTTCGATTTCCCTTGGGAAGATTGTAACACCCAGGAGAAATTGGAAACAATGGTTATGCAAAATTTTGTGGGGTAAACAAGGAGCATTATAGTCTACATGAAAATGGTGAATAGACAAGTGCGTGACGGGCAGGCTACCAATGTATGAGTTACAGAAGACGCATAATGGTATGTCAAAGGTCCTTCATTGCGCGCTAACCGCAGCGCAAGAGTTCATGAGAAGAGCAAATAGCGGGACCTTTCGCTTTCCACGTTGGACCTTTGTTGTCTTGTCCCTCATGTATACGACGTCTTCCAGGCCTTCTCGGTCAGTGTACAGTAGAATCCCGATAACTTGAACTCGGGCGTTTCCCGGAAAATTCCCCGGACAAACGGAAATTCTGAAAAGGTAGTCTCGTTCTCCCGGTTGGGACGTTACCATTCGTTCAAGTTTCTTTCTTTTTCGTTTCCCTTCACGGTTCGAGTTACCTGGGTTTTACTGTACTTCCTGATTTTCGGTGACGTATCCGGGACGAACGGCCTCGCTCGAACTACGTGACCCGCGCGGAATAATAGGACTAGGGACTAGGCAAGAATGTGCCTTTACGTTTTGGACGCTCTTTGGATTCCGCGCGCTGCCATTGCGTTGCCCACCAAAAATTCCCAAAACTCCTGGCGCCGCAACTACCGCCAAAAATCCCAAGAAGCGCCTAGGTACGAGGAGTGTTCCTGCTCCCTTCATGAATTGCGCGCCCTGTGGGGGTCGGGAAACGCACCATTGGTGACTTCTCTTCCGAGCTGCATGAAAAAATAAATGCAGACTTTGAGCAGTTTAGTAATTTTCGCCCTGTATCAAATTTAAAGTTCCTATCTAAATTGATAGAGAAAACAGTGTTTGTGCAATTGAATAGCTATCTTGGCGAAAATGATCTACACGAGCCTCTTCACTCAGCGTACAAGATTTTTCACAGCACCGAGACTGCACTTCTCACTGTTACAAATGACATTATGCTGTCATTGGATAAGGGCAAGAATGTTTTCCTTGTTTTATTGGATCTGTCGGCAGCATTTGATACCGTTAACCATTCCTTGCTGCTGGCACGACTGCAGAAATCATTTGGCATCAGAGGAACTGTACTGCAATGGTTCGATTCTTATCTTTCTCAAAGAACTCAGTTTATTAACATCAATGAGGCGAATTCTACGGTACGAGATCTTCCCGTGGGTGTTCCCCAAGGTTCAGTTCTGGGACCTGTACTCTACCTTCTGTATACTGCACCACTTGCTAAAGTGATCAGATCTTATGGCTTGGATTATCATCTATACGCCGACGATTCTCAGTTATACTTTGGATTCAAATCGGTGGATGTGGACGCTACTAAATCGAGGGTCGAGAACTGCATTTCTGCAATATGTCGCTGGATGGATCTCAACGAATTGAAGCTAATCCACGACAAGACGGAGGACATGCTCATACACTCAAAGTATCGTCCCTCTCCATCCTTTCAGTCCTTATGTGTTGGTGATGAGAGCGTGCATGCACGTGGCTGCATCTCAGTCGGCTAGGAGTCTTGGTGTTATCTCTGATGAGCACATGTCTTTTCATGCACATGTGTCTAGCATCTGTAGATCATCATTTTATCATCTCAGGAACCTATGTAGAATTAGGAAGTATTTCACTAAAGAATCAGCAGAAGTTGCTGTTCATGCATTTGTCACATTGAAACTAGATTATCGTAATGCATTACTATACGGCCTACCTAAGTATCATGCAGTTACAAAGATTGCAGTATGTACAAAACACGGCGGCTAGAGTTGTGTTGCAAGTGAGTAAGTTTCAGCATATCACACCTGCTTTGTGCGAGCTTCACTGGTTACCGATTCAATATCGTATTATTTTCAAGATTCTGCTCCTCGTGTATAAATCACTGAATGGGACATCGCCTAGCTATTTAGCTCAGATCTCATACTAGATCATTGAGGTCTGTTATTAATGAACTTTTAATCCATCCTGGATCGTATACCAAGACCTACGGAGATAGAGCATTCGCTGTTCATGCACAAAGAGAATGGAACTTAATACCCTATGAAATTCGGAGGTCCAACACCATCTCGAGTTTTAAAAGATCATTTAAGACGTACTTGTTTACTAAATTCAGTAATAACAGATCATTGTTTCTATAGATTTGTGTATATCGCGTTAGTTTTAATTTTTCCCTTTTTTAATCATTACGAATAAAATAGTTTAATAGTTGCTTTAGTTTTAATTTTTTCCTTTTTTTACTCATTGTAAATATAATCAGGATATGGTTGTAAATTTGTAAATATTTATCAATAATGTTGTTTACATGACTGTAAAGCGCCTTGAACATAGGATAAGAGCGCTATAGAAATAAAGTTATTATTATTATTACCCTTTGAAGACCAAATCAAGGTACGGCTTTCTTTTTTCCAACTTGGGAAGGGAACAGGGCCTAGGAGGGTTAAACGGAATATACCTATCAACCTCTCATTACGAAACTGTAACTTACGAGTGAAGAAAGTGATCAGATGATCAATGTGGAAAATGAGTTGCATGGAGAAAAATGGGCCCAGCTAGGAGGGTGATCCTGCCCAGGGTACCTGGCTAGGCGGATCAGCCTTCTTGCCGGGTCAACGTTTTGTTTCTTATGTAAACGATTCTTCAAGTTTTCTGAGGAAAAGGAGCCTCAGATAATATAAAATCACATTTCTGTCATGATCATTTTCCCACCGTCGCAACCCCAGTCTTCTTTAGAGAAACTCTTCTATTCATTAGGTATCTGAAATGGGCCAATGTTTGCGTCAAATACCTCAAACTTTTTGGTTACCAGGAGCATATTCCTTTGACTTTTTGCTTGGGAGCCAGTAAATTAATCTCCTCCTGAAAAAAAAGCAGAAAAAAAAATAACGATAGAAATTATTTAGGGCAGGAGCGTATAGGCTCCTGTATAGGAAAAGCCGTTTGAATGCAGAGGTCCACGCAACACGTAAATATAACTGACTGGTTCCTCTTGCCGGATCTCTAATTAAAGAGATGCTGTAGCCAGACGTCACGTAAAGTGTGAAATAAAACAAAACTGCATGCAGGGCTGGCATTAGGGCAAAGGGCTGAGGCCAATATTTTGGCTAACAAAATTAGCCTTCCTCAGGGCCAGAGCTATACCGAGAGAAAATACCGTAAAATTCCGAAAATAAGCCCCTCCATGTATAATCCCCTCCAAATATAAGTCCCCCAAAACGGTAACGCAAAAACCCCTCCGTTGAATCGCCCCACCAAATATAAGCGCCCCGGGGGCTTGTACTTGGAAAATTGCCCTCAAATACAAAGTAAAACAAAGCAAAAACGGTAAATTTACTTCCAACTATAAGGCTAGCTCGATCGATTTTGAAACGCAAATTTCCCTCCGTAGATAAGCCCCTTCAAAAATAACCCCCTCAAAAAGGGCCTTTGAAAAATATAAGCCCCGGAGCTTATTTTCGGAATTTTACGGTATCTTTTAACGGCTCCTAAAATTTAAATTTAAAATTTACATAAGTGGTTAATTTATTGTTTACCTGTATATTATTCTATCCAGTATTTATAATTGTAGTTAATTATTAACCACTTTAAATTTAAATTTTAGATATTCTCTCGCCATCGGCATAGCTCTGGCCCTGGGGAAGGCTAATTTTGTTAGCCGAAATATTGGCCTTTAATAAATCAACCCTTTGCCGGAGTGCCAGCCCTGCATTCAGTTTTGTTTTATTCTCCTGTGATTATTAATAGTCAATGCTCTTCAATTAAATGAATTGAGCGCTCTACGGAATACGTTCTACCCAGAATACAAGTATATATAGGGTCATGTAGTGATCCCTCTCTGAAAAAAAAAAACAACAAAACGTTAAAAAAAGATTTAGCTAGGGTAAAATGCCAGGAATTTTTTTTTTGTAATTTTGGCTTAAATAGAGTAAGCCCTTAGATTTAATGGTGCAGTGCCTTAACGAAATATATGGGTTGCACGGAGTCAGGGACTGGATCGAACAGACAACGTGGCTTTCACTGGTGACGTCAGAGCGCATGCGTAGGTTCAATTTCTCATGAATAAGTTAGGAATGACATCACAACATTGAAAGAGAAAGGAAGAAAAATCGAGATTCAATCGTTAAAATGTCTTACGCATATCTTTTTAAGTACATTATTATAGGAGATACAGGTTAGTAAGATGTCAACATAGGTCGGCGTTGCTTTTTTGGAACGTTATTTCTCAGTAAAAGCCAAGAAAATAGGATCCATTTTATAGATCAAAATGGACGCCATTGATCGCAATGTGGCCTTCAAGATCATTAATTTTGTTCCCTGTTTTGACCCCTTTGTTTTTTTTTCACGTTGATCTAGGCGTTGGAAAATCATGCCTTTTACTGCAGTTTACAGATAAACGTTTCCAACCTGTACATGACCTCACAATAGGTAAGTTTGCTTTGAAAAGAAGTTCACTTCTAATATAGTTTGTGCCGGGCGTCAGTAGTGTAGAGGTTTATTGATTAAGGGGAAGGTAAACCTTTACTTTTCTTTGTGTTTGTATTAAACTGCGTAGGAATAAATTTATATTTTTACTTCATTAAGGTGTTGAATTTGGAGCTAGAATGATCACGATTGATGGAAAGCAGATCAAGCTGCAAATCTGGGATACGGTGAGCTGAAATTCCTTCAAGTTGTAGATTCTACTAAGTGACATCCTTGAACGAAAGCTAATCTTAAATTTTTAAAAAATACTAAAATTATCAACACGCAAAAATGGAATGTGAATTTCAGTTAAGTTAAATTCGCTATATCTGTGTTCAATAAAATGGCTATTGATTGTTGAAAGCCACACTAAATGGAAAATAATCAAAATTGAACAAAATGGAGTGAACTGATGTAAGATACAGGTGCCCAGTCAAAACAGTTTCAGCTGTATTTTGTTTGAATAGTGGTCGTAATTATCAAACATATTTAAATCTCCTCTTGTTAGTTTGCCTCTGAGAAAACATGTCAATAAAATTATTGATGTATATCAGAAGTGATTAATAGAGAATATCCGAAATCTTTATGACATCTTATGCAAGCCAATATATTGATTAAATAGATTAAGTACTATCTTTTAAAAATTTTGAAAGTTTGCTTATAGAAAGATTTCTTTTTGGTAAATGTTGGTTTTGTCACAAATTTAATAACTGTGGTTCTCGTTGATTTAGATACGCTGAATTACTGTAATTTATATCAATTTTGCAGCTCAATTAACCCTTGTGTCAATTTATATTTCCTTTTATTTTATTTAATTATCACAAAAATAGAAAGGAAGAAAACTGAAAAATAGATTTTAATTGAACCTCTGTACCTACTGAAATTATTTTGTTTGTATAGCTAACATACGGAGACAAACATTTCGCATCTGGTAACTGGAAATTAATTTTAATTTGATTTTTAGCACTTTTTTGTTTTACGTAGTCGGGATGTTCTAAAAGTCAGGGATTCCTTTATGTGAAAAATCAAATGGTCTTTTTCAGTGGTCAAATTATAGATAACAGTGATGCCCTTGAGCAAATTAATAAAAAGTAAAGGATTGATAAATATTTTAGTACTGGATTTTATTACCACCATCTTATGAATTACTCCTGCTGCAAAGCAGTTTATACTGCTGAAAATATAGATTTTATCATTTTTCATAACATCAGTGGGTATTTGTGTGACTACAACCCTGCAAGTTAAAGTTTTTACTCAGTCGCCATTTGGCAACCAACTCTTTTGGGTTAGGGAGACTTTTTAACAAATCAAGTCGCCAGCTCCAAAATTTTAGGTGCCATGGTGACCAAAATGGTTGAAACTTAGAGGGTTGGACTAGCATTAATCCTAAAGTGCACTGTTGAACATGGGTTATAGTATAATATAATGATAATAGTGACCTCTCTTTAGCAAAAACTTCAGAGAAGGGCTGACCTTCCTGAGACACACATCAGTAGTTGGTTGCTGACCCCAACCAAACTTAAGTCTTTCTGTGTTGTGGTTCTATTTTGTTCCTTGATTCAAATCTTGTTATTTTCCTTTCTCTTTTGTGTATGACAGGGGATCTAAATAAGGGTAATAATTGTGGTATGATTAAATTAAAATATCTGTGTCTTATCTGACTGCAAGACAGTGACCATTGCCAGGTAGAGAATTGGAGCTTGCCTTAAGTTTAAGGCATTCAACCTTGATAGAGCAGTTCAGTAAAATAATACTATTTCTTTGTTTTTATTATGAATGATTGTTGTATTTTTAGGCTGGCCAGGAGTCTTTTCGTTCTATCACGCGATCTTACTACCGTGGTGCAGCAGGGGCTTTGTTAGTTTATGACATCACACGGTGAGTAGCATACACTGTAACTACCAGTAGTCATGTTAAAAATTATTATTAATCCGCTTACAAATTCAATGAACATACTTATCCTCACTTTACTATCCAGTTTTTGGATAAAAAAATTCTCAGACACACTTTTGTTGAACCAATAATTAATATGTAGACACTAAATTTTTAATAAAACTGAAGGATCTGATTCTTCAGTATTTTGTTCATTTGTATTTCATGTAAAAAGCAAATTTCACCAGAACATTGTATCGCTATTCCTAAAACTTCTAGTGGCCCCCCTGAATGTTTCCGTAAGTGCAATGGATAATTCTAGTAAGGCTTAAGGCTGTTGGTTGAAACTTATTAGACAAGGACATTTCTTGCATGAATGATGATAGCCAGTTTTCATGTCCCTGGTTTTATTTTTATGGGTGCTTCTCTTTCTCCTTGCAGAAGAGACACATTCAACCATCTGACAACTTGGCTTGAGGATGCTAGGCAACATTCTAGTTCAAATATGGTCATCATGTTGATTGGAAACAAGAGGTGAGAACAATATTTATTTACTGTACCCCTTCATTTCTGTAAAAAAAGGTCTTACCTAGTAGCTTTCAAGTTTGTTATGTACATGTTATAGGTCAAGATGAAATTCCAATTAAAACCCTTGCTGGTTCTCAATTTCTGTTCTCTCCTACCCTAATAATATTATTCATGATCATGAATAAAGGAAAGGAAACTGAAAATCAAACAGTAGGTTGAAACCATTTAAACTGAATTTTATTTGACCCACAACATGTATTTTTATATTATGGTTATTATCTGATTAATTCCTTTTTTGTTTGGGCACACAGTGATCTAGAGGCCCGCCGAGACGTTAGGAAAGAAGAGGTAAGGATTCTCTATATAAACTGAACTATCTAGCAGTGTGATTGTGCCTAAATTTACTATTATTTAGGCTCATTAGCTGTTGTTTGACAGCATTCATGTGCTTTAGCATGTCCAGGCTTTGGCCATCACCTGCCAAAAAGAACTTAAAAATTTATCTTATTCTTGTGGTAAGTTTTACTCAAATAATATTATTGTTCTTTATTTGTACAGGGAGAAGCTTTTGCTAGGGAACATGGCCTTATTTTTATGGAAACTTCTGCAAAGACTGCTGCGAATGTCGAAGAGGTAAGAATGTTTCAGTTCATAACTTGACTATTTGACAAGGTAGTTTAATACTGCCTTTCAATAACAAGTAAATCCAAGAATAAAATTCAACATTATTACAGTCAAAGTTAATACTCAGTACGTGTGGCAAGTATTATTTAGAAGGAACTTTCAGTAGTGGTTTTTTAAGTAAGTTAGATTATTGCTTTTGATCATTATCTCAACTGTTGCTTTTGACATGTAGGCTTTCATCAACACAGCTAAGGAAATTTACCAGAAAATTCAGGAAGGTGTATTTGATATCAACAATGAGGTGCGTATGGTTCTATTTTTATTTCTATTTATTTTTGATGAAAGAGAAAAAAAATTCTTAGAAATCTCTTAAAACTAGTGCATCATTTCCAAACAAAACTAGTATATTATATAGAGTGTTTTTACAGGACATTATGGCAGCCATATTGGTGTTCCAAAACAATGAAATGGTGGCCATGTTGGTGTACTAAGATGATCCTGTGAGCGTCGGATTCTTTTCTTATGCAAATGCTTTTTTTTGTTCCAATAAACTTACATAGATGTTGGTCACGTGATTTAAATCGCCCTATAACTGAGCATAATTATTAGAGACTGCAAGAATGAATGATGTTTGTACAGTAAAAACTTAAGGCCACTGGAGTGAATCAATGAATTATCAATAATTCCAAATGGCTTGTCATTAAAGCAGGGGTGGATTGTTTTTGTGGTAAAATGCATGTATTTTAACGATGGAACTACTATGTTTTTCATTGACCCCTCACCTCAGCCAACAAACAGTGTTTTCAGAACTGAACTTCTACTTTGCCCAGTTGGCTGGCAAGAGATTGCCGGGTAGTGCTTAGTACAGTGTGCATTCTGTTGCCATTAGGGAGCTACGGAGGTGGCCACAGCTACAAAAATGTCACTTAAAAAATGAATTTGTGCTGCTTCAAACCTAAAGGAGAAAGAAAGTTGTTGCCTTGTGTTCATGTCCTCCACAAAATGTAAAATTAGGCATTTTCACGTCCCGGTAGTAGTCAAGAAGTGATGGCAAGAGAGATGTACAAAAAAGCATGATAAACGTGCGGGGTTGTTACTTTGCCAATCTTTTTCCCTATTGTTTTTTTGTCGTTCTCGTTGACCTTGCCGTTCTCGTTGCTGAAGTTTCCTAATACTCGTGATGTGCAAATGCTTAAATGGAGACTACAGAGGGTGGGACAAAGTTTCTTGCCTAAGGAATCACTCATCTGGGTGTTAGTAAACACTGGGGATAAATGGACATCAGTGTGCCTTCTAAAATTGCATTCAGGGTTTTTAACTTAAAGAACTAAGGGAAATAATTGTAACTCTGCTTTTGATTTCCATATTTTAGGCTAATGGAATCAAGATTGGTCCACAACACTCACCATCGAACCCGTCAGTTCCCCTGGGAGGTAGCCGATCACAAGACAGTGGAGGCTGCTGTTAGGCAGTTGGGTCTCCTTGTGAAATAATTTCCCAATTTATTTTCATCTTGCATCTTCAAGAAAAACCTTTCAATCTCTTAAAGTTCTTTTGGAGGAGCTTTGTTATTATAATCAATGCAAACTGAGATAAAAGTGTCTGAGGAATTACTTTGGTATGGTCAACTAGTAGATTTTCAGAAGCCAGTTAAGAGTAGCTCCAGGATTCAAGCCAGCAGAGCCGCTGTTATTATTAAGTGTCATTATGGATTTATTTTTTGCATTGACAAAGCAACTTACATGTTCTTCTAGTAAACTGCAACACCCACATTGTTAATTTTATGGCTGCCTTTTGAATAATCATTATCATTAAGTATACCAAAAGTCAACATCAAGCATGATCTAGTGCATTTTGTTTTGTGCATTGTTATGTTTTTTTCTGTTTCATTTGGTTGAATTCAAAAACTGCACAAAAGCCCTGCACTGCACATGAACTGGACTTGCAGCTTTAAAGCAATTTTTCCTAATATTGCCAAAGTATTTATGGGTGTCTTTGTTTACTGAGAGATCAGTAGCTTGATCAATGTGTCTTCAAAATTCCTTCAAGTGAGGAAATGTTGAGAGAGTGAAAGATTTGTACTGAAAAAAAAAAACCTGCACTGATCCTAGTTTTGCGAAGTCTGAGTAAGTGTGAATCCGAGTTTTACTGTCAACATCAGACAACTTAAGTAAGAGTCCAGTGAGTTCATAACACCTTCATAGGATACTCTGTTAGTATTAACAAGTCTTGTTGTCATTTATACGAAGACGTTTTTAATATATACACTTCACTAACACTTATGGTATGTTTGAAGAGATTCAGACTGTTCTTAAGAAGTAAAAATTTAGTTGGAACAAGTTCATCCCATCAGCTTTTCCTAATACAGACTGTGAAATATTAATGCATTGTATTATATGACTAAGAAATTGATAAAGTATTGCAGTCAAAGAGTACAAAGCCTGAAAAATGTTAAATGCTGAGGTGTTCCCAAGTCAGCCTGTGAATATAGTTCACCATTATCAGCAGTTTGCACACAGCTTTGAATGCACTTATGAGAGCTGTATTTACAGGTGACATTTAAGGGAACAAAATGATATATTTTAATTAAGAATTGCAATAATTCCTTCTTTTGTCAAATTTATTGTGAGGTATTTTTGTTTGCCAGTTTCAAGTTTTCATTATCTTTAAAAAATGTGTGGAAGTATCTGTGGAAAATAATTTTTCTCTAAACGAATGCAATAAAGAATGACTATAGCCTCTCAGGAGAATTACTAGTAGTAATCTTAAGGGATGGGTCACCCTTGGAGACCCAGGAGTAGTCAGTCGAGTCGGGGGGAATGGCGCTATGAAAGTTTTCAAGCACGGTCTGAAGTTATGAAGTCTCCCTCGCAGCCATTTTTGCGTGACGATACTAAAAACGGCTGCGAGGGAGACTAGAAGTCGTGCTGTCCCTCCCGAAGTTAACCTCTTGGATATCCAAGTATTATCAGACCCCTGCTGAGGAACTAATGGTCTTGCCGAAGATCTCCTGTTTCTCCCTCCTCCTGCCCCGTGTGTTGCGAAGTTCTCAAGGCAAGCTGGGTAATTGATCAGTTATTGAAAAACTAATGTAATGAAATTTACCAGCTTCCAGAAAATACATTCTTATTCCACTCTGATGATTCTATCTGTAAAATAAAGTTTTAAAAAGTTGCAGTTCTTCTACTTCTCCACTACGACCACACGCCCTCAAAACTATCCGTTACATTTCTTTATGCTTTTTGCCCCAAGTCCACAGTGATGGGTAATCCTCTTTGTGGATAATCAATTTAGATTAGACTTACCCGGGAGGCACTCGAGAGGAGTTTGTGTAGAGTTGTGCCGCCGAGGCCTTCAAACATTGCTCCTGTTTAAGAAAAAAACCGTTCATTTCGCTACCCTGTCAAGAGACCATATTTCTTTCGTTTCGCATATAGAATTAAGCAGTTTTTCAAACTGCGAGGTCAACCCTTACTCTCCAAATTGAAAGGCTTCTTGTCCCAAAAGACCCCCGTTCAGGACGCTAAATAGCGAGATTGTATACCCTGTTTATCGCAGACCCTGGAGACCATACCTTGTTCAATGCCACATACCCGTTCAGACCAAATATAAATAAGAGACTATTCCCGCCCGGGATTATTAATTTTCAACCTAACAGGCGACATTAAGCCGGTTATGAAATGGGAATAAACTAAATGTAGGTTATAAAACGCTGCATGTGATACGTTCCATGTCTGAGGAATGTCATCTGCTATAAAAAGCTTTCCAAAAATGCGGGACTAAACGAAGAAAAAGAAAGTCAAGCTTGTTTATCTCATGATTTTTTTATTGTGCCTATGGAGCACATGACAGAATGAAAATTAAAAAAACAAACAAACAAATAAACAAAGCAGAGGTTGTTGTCACCGCAAACGAAGTTGAAAATTGTGTTCCACTGAAAAAACAGTCAGCGCCCCCGTGAAAAGTTATTATTGATCCGTTTAATAATGATTTAATGATATCCGAAAAGGGCGGCGCGGCTACCAAGCACCACAAGGCCCTGAATCATCATGGCGGACAGATTTGTGAGATGAAATTTGGTTTTTCTTGATTATGATTTCGAGCCGTGAAATAACTCTAGGACAATGAAATTTCATATATCACCGAGAGCATATGCCAAGGTCCTCTTACATACCTCGAAATACCCACACAAGGCCGTGAATGGAGTCCTGTTAGGAGACGAAACCCTTCAAGATGGTGAAGTGTATGTTTTAGATGCCGTTCCTTTGTTTCATATTTGCCTTGGTTTGGCTCCGATGTTAGAAGTTGCCTTAGCAAGGGTAAGATAAACGTCCATTTAAGGATTCTTGTTAATGTTTGGCGAGGTCCTCTGATGCAGAAGTTAACTTTTAGGCAGTTCAACAGACTGATACTTTTAAAAGCTTTAAATTAAAGCTTAAGTAAAAGCTAGCTCCGTAATTTAATCTGAAATCGACCTTGGACTGGTAAAATAAGGAGACTCTCTTTATAGTTCTAGAGAAGAGACAGAGCAGAGAGGTCAGGTTCACTTTGAAATCACTCTTTTCCTCGATTTTACCGGATCCCGGGACACAACCCTGTCTGCTTTTCTTTCCACCATATGTACTAAGCACATTTTTATTTTCTGCTTGTGCTCACCCAGTGGATTTTAGTAGAGGGTCTAGATGAACGTATTAACACCTAGCTCTTACGTGTTTGGCTCTGGTACGCTTATTTCAGGCACTTGAATGATAACATTTTTGGGAATGATTATGCTGCTGTTTTAACACTTAACACCGTAAAATGGGTAAATGACTGTAATTTTCAGGTTGTACAGCAGACCCACTCCTGCTCCCCATACAACAACCTTATATATATGACCAGATTGTCCAAACTTTTGACTATGTAAAATTGGGATATGTTTATAACCAAGGTATCAGGTGACTGCCGAAGGGGAGAGCACACTATTGATAGATCTGGGGGCGTGCTCCCCCAGAAAAATTTGAAATCTTGATCCTCTGAAATAACATTTCTAGTGTTTTGAGAGGAAAATTTTTGACTAAAATGTTCACTAAATTGATTGTCATTTTTATACTTGTTTTATTATTTGCATTTGAAAAAATATCTTGCGCTCAAGTCCACTGCTCTAATTCATGGTAAACCATTTGTTTCTTTTCTTAGGTTGATATCTACTGTAAAGAAAGTGGCTTACAGATTGTTGGTTACTACCAAGCTAATGAGCACATTAATGACAATAGGTATGGTAAAAGTATTTTGTATCTTTGCATTACAGTGAAATCGAGATCTTTCAAACCTCTGATACTGACTTTTTTCTCAACATTTTGTTCATTTTGATGATTATATTCTCATTGTATTCTTGAAAAAGAAATGTTCATCATTGATTTACGCTCGAGTGTTCATTACTTCTACAGTCCCAATGTAATCTGTTACAAAATTGCTGAGAAAATATGTGACCAGTTTAACAATGCATTCATTCTAATGGTAAGTCAGATTTTTTTCAATATTTTCCATAGTGTAATGCTTTTAGGTTGCAATAGTAGTTATTATACATGTAAAATATATCATAGTTGTTGTTTGTTTGAATGTTTGATTATGATTGATTTCGTAACCAAAGTATAAACAAAATAGTTAACTTTTTTATGTCTTATAAGAGAAGTTCTAGAAAGAATTTGTTATCTATTTTAACAGGTTGATAATACTAAGCTGTCAGTACCATGTGAAGAAATAGCTTGTAAGGTATTGATAGTATTGTTAGTTAAAGAATCATTGCTATTTAATTTGACTTGGGCACTCCCCCATATTGATTTGTTGATTATTTCTTGTGTATTGTACCCTAGCCTGCAAATGCAAACGTATCTCTGGTTGTCATCTCTCTCCTACTTTTGGATGGAGTGAAGTTATGACCATAAATTGGTCTGAATTCGCAGGCTAATAATTTGAACCCACACATAATGAACAACCTCTCTTACTAACTAACTCACAACATTTTTTGTTGATTACACTTTTACAACCAGCTTAAAACCCAGTTTAAGCAATTGAAAGTAAGTAGAGTCTACTTACATGTACATGATAGCAAACATTTAATTGTGATGATTTTTGTGACATATTATTTTTGACAGTTACTTACGGTTTTGTTAGTGATCATGCTTATTGCCAGAAGAGAGGAATAAGCTCTACCTTTCAATAGTTTCTTCTGTCTTTCAACCAAAAATGGTTGAATTATTGTTCAACCAGTAATTGAAAACCTAGAAAAATGCTTGGTGTTGCACTGTTTGATTCCAATAAGCAACTGTTTTAAATTTAATTCTTCATAAATGGACTCAACTACAGCTGTAGCATGCAGCTATCAGATAGATAACAGTTACTGTAAAATTATTTTACATGGTTTTGTCTTTCATCTTTAGTGCTATGTAGTCCAAGATAATAAGTGGAAACAGAGTGATAAAGATTTGTAAGTACCAGTTAAGATGAAAACTACTTGTGTAAATTAGAAAACAGGCTTCAGTTCAGTTCATTGCACTAACTTCTTAACTAGATTTTAAGCCTTTGTTCTTCACTTTGTTTTTTTTTTTAACAGATTACTTGATGGTGGAGAAGACACCCTTAGTCTTACAACAGATCTTCTTGATGGAAAAGCATACCAGAGTCTCATAGACTTTGACAACCATCTTGATGACATAACACAAGATTGGCTGAACAAAGACATCAACAGACTAGTTGACCTATCTCTTGCAACCTGAATTTTAACTTGTCTGAAACAACGACTTAGCTTTTTTTTAGGTATTTAATAATATATATACTGTAATCCTGATATGTAGGAACCATAATCTTTTGCATACATTTGTCTGAAAATAAATTGTCACTGAATTGTCGCTCACTCACTTGTACCAAATCTATAAAGTTTTAATCTTGGCTTTTTGTAACTTCTAAAAGGCCCTAACAGTGAGAGTTAACATAAACCTTTGGATTCCTAGTCCTTTTTTTACTGAAAATTGCACCTTGAAAGTCCTTAAATTTAAAAACAAAAAAATTCAAGGCCTTGAAAGTCCTTGAAAATTGCAGTAGGTGCTAGAAAGTCCTTGAATTTTGGTGCTCACCTAATCCAACCCAGCAAACACAGAAAGACCTTCAGGATAAAATTGCTCATGTTGTGGAAGAACTAAAAAAGACATAGACTGAAGGCTCTTTTGGATCATTTTACTTTTCTGTGAAACTACCCACCAATCTCTCCCCTAAGCCAACATTTTGCCCTAAGTAAGAACTAATTGTTAATGTTGGTTTAGGGAAGGGGTAGACGGGCAGTTTCACAGAAACGTAAATGATCGGCTCTTTTTTGTACTGAATTGAGTCCTTCAAACATGGGAAATGTGTCCTTTAAAGTCCTTGAATTTTTTGTTCAAAAATGGGTACGAACCCTGGCACTGCATCTGTCCCTCAAAGAATGAGCTAGGAAAGCACAAATTTGGCCAAACAGTTAAATTCTGTCACTATGATAGAGTATTAGTCAAGAAGTTTTTCTTTGAAGATTACCAGCTCCTTCGTGTGTTAAAAACTTCCTCGTGTTAATTGCTAAGGCTCTTTTCTCTGGAGAACATTAGATGAATGCAATTCAAAGATGAGCAGTGTATTAAGTTTGACACTTACATTATATAAATGTTCTAAATGGGCCAACTTTTTTTACTTTGCACCAAAAAACATCTTTTTGTCTCCTCACCTATGTTGCTGTTACAGAGGCATACACACTGGTATCAGTGTCCCTCATCGTCACCTTTGGCACTTGTCTCAAAAGTGACTTTTTAGTTCTCGCCAAGCAGCTCTCCCTTGAAAAATGGCACGGTGCTCTTGGTTGTTGCCGAAATCCTTTTAATCAGATGAGTAACAAATAGTTCTGATTATTTTGAGCTCAAGATCCTTGAAGGCACCCCACACTAACCAGGGGAGTTCTTCTTCTCCTTGCCTGGGACTACCGTAAAAGCTGGAATTAGGGCTCCCTTCAAATAAACTTCCCCTTAGAAAAGTTGTCACCCCTTTGGCTAAAGGTGATTAGAACAACACAACCCACCCCCTCTTTATATATTAGCAATCACCACCCCAGGGCTACCCGCTTTACACCTATCCAGAATGCAGCATAGCTTGCACAATCGTAGCCTCCCACGCAGACCTTCTCAGGGCTTCGTCACGCGTTCCTCCCACACGAACGTCAATCGTGGAGGAGTAACGCGTGAAATACAGAAAAATGGGAAATCTCATTTCTTCCACACTGTCACCCAATCTCTCTCGGTAGATATTTTCACGCCTGGTCGATTCAACGCGAAACACATATTAAGCGATGATAGGGTTTGTTTATGCTGTTTTTGCGGGCTTTTGTGCAGCGACTGCTTCAACATGTGCCAAACTAGCAATGTCGCCTGAGTTTCAGAGGAATTTTTGGTGCGATTTGTTACTCCAAAGGGTGGCTGAGAGTCCCTCGCTTTCGTCAGTCTGCGAAACGGTTAGTTACTCCGCTTTGATTGTTACTCTTTTGAAATAGAGTCAGTGATACAGATTATGTAGCAACGTAATTAGTGTTATAGATGATCTAGGTGCGAATATGTTTAGTTAAGTTCGGTCCTTTTAACTTCGAAAGTGTCGGTGATGGAGCTAATGAACCGGCCCGCGTATTAAACTTTCATAGTTTGGTTACAAAAGAACGGGGGGATCCTGGGTGGGTATCCCGAGGGGGAGAGGGTACTCGACCAGTATTAATGGCTACTGGTTTGAAACCCGGACCTTTTTTAGGCCAAAAAATCCTCAAATACAAACCCTCTTTTGGACAACATTCACCCCGTCTTGTTTTAAAGTTGTTTATTAGCAATAGAGCAAATTCACATTATAGTCATTGCTTTTGTATACTTGTAGTGCAGACAATTACAAATTTTATCAAGCAAGTCAAACTAATTATGCAGGCAATACCCTGATAATCATAAGGACCCATCACAGGAAAAAATAACGGATTCCCGTTTTTGGATATTTTAGGGTATTTAAAGAATACCCATAAAAATCCCAAATTTGGCAAAGTGAGACAAGTCCCAACCAGGGAATTCCCAACCAAGTTCCCTGATTGGGACTTGTCTCACTCTTCCAAATTTGCGATTTTTGTGGGTATTTTTTAAATACCCTAAAATATCCAAAAATGGGAATCTGTTATTTTTTCCTATGCATAAGGACATAATTGCATATACCCATTTTTTATAGGACAGAGAGGGTAAAAATCAGACACTGTCCAGTGGCACATCCCTGTATATGGAATTGTCTTTTAACTATTTTCAGATTGTCATAATTTCAAGAGTGTTATCTTTTCTTCTGGTGTTCTTTTTCAATGCGTTGATGTGGACACTGTTTGTCAAGTCTCTAAGAGGTTCCTCATCTTCAGCAACAGCAACAGTGATAAATACAGGCTCAAATTTTATCTGCACTGTAAGTACTGTAATCATAACTATAACAAAATTGTCAAATCTGATTGGCTCTCAACTGCCCTGATTTCAGCCTTAATTGGACAGTTTAATAGGACAGTACGCGTCATGCCTAAGTAATTGGACAGTACGCGCCATCACGCGTGCGCTTAAATGGTTTTTTTTTCACTGCTAGCAAAACAAAATTTCGAATTTCTTGTGTTTTGGTTTAAAAAATAGCCTATTGTATCACAAATTTTGTTAAAGTTATGATTAACTGGTAACAGAACTTCGTGTCGTCCAATTCAGTCTGTAATCATACTCGTGATTAAACAAATCGGACTCCCGCTACACGGTCGTCCGATTTTGTTAATCACTTGTATGATTACAGACCGAATTGGACTCCACTCAGTCCTGTTACCATTACCAATCTTATGTTATTTGGACAACCATTGTTAATGATATAAATCAGGAGGAATCCAGCCATCAGAATTTAGACAGGGATAGCTGGTTTGTAATTTTATGCTTGAATCCTTTATGTAAAGGACAGTTTAATAAGGACAGAGTAGTGGTTAACTTTAACTGCCCAAGAAGAAAGAGAGAATTTTTTGAAAAGCCAGCCAAGAAATAAAAAAGAACAGGAAGAGGCTATTCAGACTGAAATTTATTAATGAAGTGAATATTATTTTTATTTCTTATATATGATAATATACTCCTTCAATTTATGAAACAAAAGCATCTGCTTAATTTATTAACTCCAAACATGTTTGTAAGTTCCATTATCTTTCACAGTGTTTCAGAACTTTTGTTGTGGTACCTCTAAACAGCTTTGTAAAGTATTACTTCTAAAATAAATATTGGTGGTATATTTAATCATTACATGTACTCAACTGAATCTGTTCTATCGTAGAGGAAAATTTTCAATACCAGCAAATTTTCAATTTCACTCACGTTTTGTCCAAATCCTAATAATTTAGGATTAAATTATTAGGATTTGGACAAAATGTAAATAAAATTCTTCCTAATTTCTCGAGTGTACCATTTGATTATCTATTTCAGTATATCATGGGTGACGAATTACATTCCAAATCATGGATTTTTGACAAGTTTATCCTGGTTTTATCATATTTGGCAATCGAGAACTTCATGCTGTCAAAAGATAAATTTAGCCTGAGTTCAGAATTTGCAGAATTTTTTGACGAAATACCTGTTAGAATCCTTCATGATATGCTCTTTCGTATGTTTAGGTTTTCTCAAGTGTCTTTTAATGCCATGACATCTTCATTTATAAAATTTAACTTCGGCGACACCGAGACCTATGGAAGGTTGCCGTGGCAGTTTTGTACCTTCACATGTGGAATTGTGAATAAATGCTGAAATTTCATGCCAAAATTAAAGAATTAATTCATCACCCATGATATTAGGGTAATAATCTTGTGAGCGGGACATTGACTTATGATCAGCTGCTATTTGCAGATGCCTCTGAACATATCTAAGATGTAAGTGATGTGAAATGAAGGGTCACATCATTTACTTTCATGTGGTCATTGCACTCTGGCAGTGTTGCTTTCTATCTTGAAAGATCATAAAATAGTTCCAATCTGTTGTTTAAACTTAAGTCATATAAGAGCAGAGTTGCTAAAGGTGGATTATCTCTTGCAGGCCCTGTTGGGTTGTTTGTTGTTTGGTGAGGCCTTGACCATGAGATGGTGGTTAGGCACATCTCTGATCCTAACAGGCTTGATTCTGATTCACTATAACAGTGTACCGGTAACTAAAGAACATCCAGATGTCAAGAAAGAGTAATGAATACAGCACCAAGCTACACTGCTTGAATTAATGTGGTCCAGCTACAGGATCACCCACACTCTGGCCACAGTTTCAACAGACCAGTAAAGATTCTGTTTCTATGGAGCCACAGGTAGCCAAAGCTCAATTGAGTCTATTGAACCTTGTAAGGTAATCTGAGCATCATGATAACATTGCATAATAGCGAAAATATAGGGATTTGTAAAACATAAAAAGACCAACAAAGGACTTTAGGTCAGCCATATTTGTTTAAAAAAGAATGATAATAACATTTTTAATTTTACTGTAAGAATCACATGTTTTTCCTCCATGCAAATTCTTACTATTTCAAAACGATGCCATCAAAGCACCAAGATTACATAACAAAGTTCAGTGAACTCATAGAGTTTGGGCTGCTTGTGATGGAACAAGGTGATCTTCAAGGACTAAGAGACATTTTTGTTGTATGGTATGTTAGACAGTCTGTTTTACTCATGCATAACATTGGCATGAAAGAGGAAGATTTGACAATTTCAAGACAGTATTTGGCTAAACTGCTAATTAACAAGGCTGTTATCTGTCTGTTTACTTGGAAAATTCCAAGTATGTGTATATGTCAAACTACGTTGTTCAATTATACTGTACACTTTTACCTTTTACTTCATTATATCTGCAGATACATGCTATAAACAATTTTTAATTTCGGCCACCTAGTTCACATGCCATCCCTTACCTCTCCTGCTATTTAGAACAGCACTGAAAAACTCAAGGGTTGATACAGTGATATAAAAGCAAAATATGGTCATTGGAAGCATTTAAGATGAACAATAGTCGGACCAGTCTCATTGTATTCCTCTTTTGAAATCCACATGTCTTTGGAGGATGATGTGACTGAGGCCAGGATTGAGCCTCCAATCCATGAAGCCAGTTGACATTCAGGAGTGACACTGACTCGAGCTCTATAGCTAACTGAAACTTCCAGAGACTGTATTTCTTTCTCCATCCTCTTCTGTATCCCAGAGAACAAACTCGAGCCTCCGGTCAGCACTATGTCTTGAAACAAACCTACAACCAATAATATTCAACACCACATTTTCTAATGGCATCGGCAGTGATCTTGTGAATTCCCGACATATCTGGCTTTCCAATTAGGGAAGGCTTGAACAAACACTCAGGTGCCTGGAATCTCTCAGAGCCGACATCAACACAATGACCATCAGGAAGTTCATAGCTTGTTGTGTTGGAATCAGCAGTGCTAAGTTCAAGCTCAAAGTCTGTAGCAACATAGCAAAATTGTTCTTTAATCTTGCGCAATATCTCTAACTCATCTGTGGTTGTGAATGAGCAACCCCGATGTTTCAGTAGACTTCCAAGGTGGTCGGTCACGTGTCTACCAGCCAATTCAAGGCGAACAATAGCACGTGGAAGAGAGTAACCTTGATCTACTGGAACTGCATGACTGACACCATCTCCGATGTCAAATACAAGACCAGTTGTACGACCAGCAGAGTAGAGTGCTAACACTTGCTGAGTTGCCATGTGCAAAGCTGGCACATCAAATGTCTCGAACATAACCTGATCACAGAAAGGGATACATATTTAAACTTTGTTTTCGATAAATATTATAATAATGATGATGAATAAATAAATAAATAAATAAGAACCTGTACTTTTCAGACACCCTGAAATGCTCTAGTGATCTCTTTTAAAACAAACGTGTCCTCTAAAACAGGTTCCCCTAAAACTAACAGTAATGTTGATTTCGAGTATGATAAACGTGTAGTATTGTTTAGTAATTGTTCATTTTATTTGAAAATGGAAAAAGAAGAGAATTGGACGGGAAAGAGAATCTGCAAGGGTGGCGTGAATAACAAGTACTTTTTAGTTCAAGAACCCTTGAGGGATGAGGTACATCACTTTAAAAGAGTGCGTTCTAATTTGAGTTTCGGGCCATTGTTGAGAGATGGCTTTTTGTAGTTTTATATAGGCTTGTCACGCAGTCTTCAAGCTCATGAGGGATAGATTGTGTGATGATAATGCCGTACGTTTGCGTCACGCAGATCCATAGCAATTTATCATTGAATTTTCAAACATGAGCAGTCTGACTTATATTTATTTATATATCTTGTTTATGTTGACGTTTGCCCAATATCCGGGCTAAATAGAACCCGGAATAATTTGATTGGAGTCCCTCTATACATTTATAAGACAAGTAGAGACATGATCTAGTCTGAAATGTCACACGTCTCCACCCAGTGGAGACGTATGACATTTCAGACTCTACACATGATCATGGTTTTTACCTCAGTAGTCTTTTCTCTGTTAGCTTTTGGATTCAAAGGGGGCTCTGACAGTAGAACGGGACAGCCCTTGGTTTCTGCAGCAAACGCCTTGTTAAAAATATGATCCCAAATCTGCATCGTAGATAACAAAGCCATGCATGTTAAAATAAGTCTACAATAACCTACGCCAAGAAATTAAAGGGGCTGTGTCACAGTTGTCTTATTCATTTTGTTAATATTGCCAATTACACTTCTTTAGTCACCATGGAACTTTCGAAATTACAGCTTCCTGTCAAACAAACATGTCTCCCAAGCAGCATATGAAACGATACAAAGAAGATACAAACAACAGAAGACTGTAAGGCTTAGAAGTGCTCAAAAACCACAATAACTAATCCGTTTCAATCTTCTTCAAGTTTCCCCATACGTTTCTCCTGTTTTTATTTGCTGTGTTAACAGGTCTTCTTTTCATGTTTTGAGCTGTTATTTAATGCGTCACTCAGTTTGGTGACGGTTCCCCCTGTTTGAGATTACTGAGTTCGTGCCACAGCTCCTCTAACTCTTTTTCACAAAGCTTCATTACCCAATGCATCTCATCCCAGTCTGTTACGATGCCATTTTTGATAGGATATAACAAATCCAGATCATTCCTCTTCACGAGTGCGTCGTCGCCGATGGAGCAGTGTAGCCAACTTTTGCCAACCCCCGGGTCATAGTGTTTAGGATGACCAACAATAGAGGGAAATGTTACGTGAGGGGCATCTTCTCCACCAAAACCAACCCTTGTAGTACAAGAGCCGTTGTCTATAACTATCGCGACCTTTTCATCGGCCATAATCTTTTTTTGTGTCGAAAACGTGGTAGAATGCGTGCGTGACCGTTTTAAGGGTAACGGAAGTTCACGTCATCATGTCAGATTTTATCACCATTTTATACACACACTGTTACACAGCATTTAGATCTCGCAGTCATTGCTGATGGAGAAACAAAGATCGCCTTAAAAATGTCAAACGTACAAGTGGTGTCACTTAAGAAATGAGCTTTTTTATGAGACGATCTTTTGTTTGGACTTCCTAGACAGTGGAATGCTGACTATCCTGAGTCTTTATACTATACACCTCGCACCTGACCTCCCCAAAACTCCAATTCTTTCCCCAGTCAAATAAAACACACACAAAAAGAGACCCAAAAAATTGCCTTCGGTTTTGTCTCTCTGGTGGGTTGGGAAGTAGGCTGCGAAGGGTCGGGCTTATACACAGGGGCACCCGGCGACTTTTTTCTGCACAATAACTATTCGAAGGAGCAAATATTGTCTAGAAATTTCTAAAGCTTGAGAAAAGCTTAAAATTTCTGGATAACCGTTCCATTCGTCTAAGATATCCGGAGGTTTTCTAATAGCTTTCTACTATTTTCGGAAGTTGTGCTATTGCCCTTTTTAATACCAAGATATTATGATTATTGTTCTAAAAGGTCTCCTAAAAATTTCGGTATAGAGACAATACGTCCCTTATAATTTCTAATGAAAGCAAGACTACTTCATGTCCTCAAACTTTCGACCGGACCCATAAGGGTAGCTAACACTTGCGGATGAGACGAAACATCGGAACAGATAAATAGATTTTGGAGCAACTCCAAATTAACCAAAGAGGCTTCTCAAGCACAGTGAAAGTCATTTGAGACACTTCTGGCGTGCGTTGAAGCATTCGGTCGTTGGGTGCCCCTGTATACTGTACGTAGAAAAAGTCCAAATTACGGTGGTAACCAGCCTAGATTTTATGTTGTTTGACTAGTACACAGAAAGTGAGTTCAGTGTCTTTACAGTGGTTTGATGATCTTGACGAGTGTTGCTAAGGCTGTGTTCACGGCTTGCAGGTGCCTAGCCTGTGTAGCATGGCGGTTTTTTTGAGAGCACTACTGAGCGGCGAAGCCACAAAAACGCGGGCAAAGCGAGCGCGAACGAGAGGCCAAGCCGCGAGGCCCAAATCTCCTCGCGGTTTCTCTGCCCTCGCCCGCTTTTATTTACTTTGCGCACCCAACCAAAACCGCCATGCTACGCAGGCTAACTGGTGCCCGAGGACGTCACTCGTTGCACAGCAACGTGAACACACCCTTTTTCAAGTACCCTTGGAGTTGGAAGTGTTTCAATGGTGGGTGTATCGATAATTACCGGGGCCCAGCCGAAGGCTGGCACCGGTCTTAAAATGCAGACGGTCCGTTTTTTCAACGGTACATTGTTAGGGATATATCGCTGACTGAGATATATCGCTGGCTCATTGAAATCTTATCCGCCATTTTGAAAGGAAGAGGCATGGAGGACAGTCAAAAGAAAGATTATAGCTTTTTTGGGGAACGACACGTTCCCCCAACCCAACTAGTTTATGAGCGAAAATTTAAGAGTGAATATTTGGAGAGACAAATTTACGAGTGATCACTTCTGAGACTGAACCTTCCATCGTGAAACTTATCGAGAAATTGAGTGAACCTTCCATCGTGAAATTTATCGAGAATCAAAGCGAACACTTATCAAAATTTGTCTTCAAAAAGATTTCAATGATTGACATACCGAAGACTTCAAAGCTCCATCGCTATGTTAATAAGGTGAGAAAACTTTATCATGCACGATATAAATGTAATAACAAACGCGATCCAAAGATAATTAACTTAAATAAAATGGCTATACCCAAGAAAGCTTACTTGTTGTCTTTCTTTAGCAGGCATTATCACAGGATAATGAAACTAAAAATAATGTAAAGCACGTCGATCTTTATCATTGTTTTCTTGCAATTGTGTGAGTCATAAGACCAATTATGTGAATTTCAAACTAAGTAAAGATGTTGAGAAGAATCCAGGACCTACTCAACACAACACTGATCATCATGAAGTAATAATTAGACCTTCTATGCAAAATCACAGCTCAACATTGGTTGAGGTCACACTAGAGACTTTACTATGGTAAAAAGGGCTTTACTATGGTAAGTCTCGCAACGTCTTCTTTACCGTAGTAAACCTGACAGGTCCACTTAAAAAGGCATTTGAAACTTTCCAGGCGTTTTTTCTCGCGTGATCGGTAACGTGAGAGTGAAAAGTAAAACAAATGATGACCTGCTATGAGAGCTGACTAAATTGAAATTACTGAACTGTAACTTCCTGAACGTGACCCTCACAAGTGTACAAAGATGCTTCAATGTCAGAGAGTATTGTTTTCTGTTGTGAGCATTTTGCTTTTAATTCTGCTGCTCAGACGAGCAAGAAGAATGCGCTCCCTTATTACCTACCTTGGTTTCGAATACGAAGTTAGTGAAGATGTTTTAGTGACAGGTTTATTGATTACTCATCGAAGACGTATTCTTAGAGAAAGAGCGGCATTGCGAAGGCAAGCGTGGGTTTAACCTCGACCCCAGGAATGGTTTGAAGAAATGTACAGAAACAGAAACCTTCAAGCACTGTGGAAAAAGCAATCACCGATGTTCTAAAGCTATTCTGTTATGTGACCCTTTTTGAAACTACTTTCCTCAAAAATCATGACAAACTGTCAACAAAACAAACAAAGTTTAGATAGACTAGAGATATACCCACCTATTTTTTTTGGTAACCAGATGGTTATCGGTGATGGGTCATCTTTGTTCTTTCTGCGGTAGTCATGGAAATTAACCAGGGTAGAGTTTACCATAGTAAACTGAAAAATGCCGGTCACACTTACGGCGCCGTTTACTATAGTACACTTGAGTTTACTATAGTAAACTTTCTCTAGTCTCCTATTTCCTCTGAGAATTTGATGCAGTCAAGATTAGGTGCACTTTGTTTACAATCAATAGATGTTGGCGGTGCAGGTGATTGTTTCTTTAGATCTGTATCACATCAATTATATGGCAATAGCAACCATCACATGCATATACGTACTGCTGGGGTTCAATTTATGAGAGACAATCCAGAGAGATTTATTGAGAGCAATACCGAAAATTCATGGATAAGATATCTGAATAATATGTGTATTCAAGGTACATGGGCTGATGCACTTATCATTCAAGCAGTTGCAGATATACTACTGTTTACCCAGTTCAGGAAAGAAATACTTCCTCTACAATAATTACTATAGGCCATATTGATGAATGCCACTATGTATCAACCACTGCCTTACAATCAAGTGCCTCCATTTCAATGTGCAATGAATTAACAAATGATACTCAGTCATCAATAAATAAGCATTTTATTATGTCTGTATATAACACTGGATGACATTTTTTACAGTGCAAGACAACAATCCATGACCACAAAGATCTATTTCAAAAATGTCTTATGTCTGTTATCATTTCAAATTCACAGTGTTTTCGCAAAAAATAGATAAATGTGATTAATAAATCTCAATGATAAACCTGATGATAACGTACTTGAGAAAATGTGAAATTGTGATAATTCTGTAACAAACTTCTTTGCAAACTTTGTCATTACCATTCAATCCAAAACTGTCAGTGATTTTTGCTTTTTCACTCAAACTTAAAAACAAATGAAAACCTTATACAGATCACACTTATTGACATCACAGTGTTACTAAAAACACTACTATAACACAGACCGTTAGCTGTAATAACACTGAACAAACTTCCAACAACATCCTCCTTTCTCATGCATTTTGTTGCTTTTCTTCTGCATGAGTTAATTCAGACTAAGTATTAGCCTCCACAGAGGAGGGGGAAGGGGTGCGAGAGGTAAACTATATCTATGCAATCCCGTGTCCCACTGGGCCCCGGTAAGTTCCACGTAGTGGTTCTAGTTAACCTTAATGCTGAAATTGAGTACTTTTATTTTCTACATCATATATCACTTCGGTCAAAAAAATATTGTCTCCGTTGTGATTTTTTCCCTCGGAAACTTGTACAGAACAGGGTGGAGCGTGTTTAGTGCGTCTGAGATTGGATTTGAATGTGAGTTTTGTATAAAAAGAAATGCTCTTCAATCCTTTTGCTTTTCTAAAAGTCTAAGTGCAAATTGCAATATCATGCTGTTAAATGCCAGCGATAAAAATGGATTCTTTCATCATCAATGAAAAATCTTGTATTCCTTCACAGGAATATTCCACTTTTCATTTCTTCCCTCTTTTGGGGCCATTCTTTATCACGTGACGGTTGGGAGTCTACGCAGTGGATCATGGATGCGAGCAAATTCACACACATTTTGTAACATCCTGCGTATTTCTGCGTACTAAAACCAAGACAGGGTAAGATTAAGTTTTATCAGAAGGGGTTATATGCTTCTGGTTTTATTCAGTTTTCAACTAAATTTACAAAGAATTAAAAAACATTAATTTTTCCGTATATTTGTTTCCATGGTCGAAGGGGGTGTTGAACATGAAACTTGCATGGTTTTAGCAGGAGTCCAATGAGGCAGAGGGTACAACTGCCATAAATTTGTGCAATGCCGTTTTCACAGATCCAGTTATTTTTGAGCACTTTTTCCCGCGAAATTTGGGGCACCGTACGTTATGCGTGCGCATCCATAGCACGATAACTACAAAAAGAAGAAGTAAATGCTATCAAAACACCAGAAATACTATCTTTTAGTCTCCGGTTTTTGATGACTTATTTGTAAGACATTTCATTGTTATATTCAAAATTCGTAGGAAAATCGATCTTATATACACCTAGGGAAGTGCTCGTGGGCTCCTGCCGTTTCCAGCGCTTGTTTTTTGTCAGATTTGATGAATGTACGTTTTTGTGGTTGAGCTAAAAACAAAGTATCTTGAAGCTAAAACTACTGCTATTTTAAGGATTCATTTAATACAACTACGATAGTCACGTTGTACTGCATCTTGATAACAAAAAATTAATTGAATATGAT